AGAGATAATTAGACCACAGTTTAAAATAGTTTAGACCAAAATTAATTAAACCACAGTACAAATCGAGGCTCTGTACATGAGTCTTATAATGAAAAAGGATAAATGAAAATTATTTTACTGCTCCAATTTCAAGGAAAGAATAGAAAAATAACAATGTTTACATGTTTTAATTCTTTATGGTAGCTTTTTGTTTACAATTAATGTTTGGCTGCTTTAACTTTGTTTGGATATGGCCCGGAAATATTGATGTCATAAAAAGAAGATCAAGAATAATCAGGAATCACGATTTTAAATTACCACCACAACCTCAGCCGGGTTTTATACAAAGATAAACAGATGGATGACATAGATGAACACAACGTCAACTTGACCTAGGATACTGCAATTAGACAAACCATCCTTTTATGAAATCGTGTTCAGTTGTGGTTACGTTTGGGGGTGCCTATATCAGCGCCCCCAAACGTGAAAATATCACTTTTATTTCAACTATGAATATATTGTAGTTTAAATTAACTAATGTGGGAAATTACGATGTACATTTATTCAATGAGGGTGGGTAATTATCAAGGATAGAACTGATAACGGTATGGATAATAAACATTGACAATTACGTCATTAGCTTTACTAGCGTGTTTACTTTTTATATTCCTGCTACATGAGACCAGTTCTTTTAGTACCGTAATCGTTTTTTTTTAACAAGTATTTATTTACAATCTATTCTATACTAGAATAATAAGTAAATTTAATAACCATTTTAACATGGGTTAGTTACACTCCATCAAGTGCACTAACATACATAACAAAAACTTTTAAAAAGTTTAACTTAAAACGATTTGGAAGGTCTAATGGATTAACTCTTTTGAGCCTATATGTAGCTTCACTATTGTCGAGGAGGTTAACTGCCAGGAAATTTTGATGGGTTTCTAATTTTCTTTGGTATTTTTCACTTCGTGTTTTTATTTCTTCTTTAACATAGGGTAATTTTGTATCTTGATGAATTACTTTATTTGTGACAAACCAAGGTGCTTGTAAAATTTTTCTCAGTGTTTTCGATTGAAACCTTTGAACCATTTCTATGTTTGAGTTGGAAGTGGTTCCCCAGGGTTGGATACCGTAGGTCCAAATAGGTTTCAATCTAATTTTGTATAAAAGTAATTTATTTTCAACAGATAATTTTGAATTTCGACCAATGAGCCAATTTAGTTTGTTTGTTTTTAAATTTAAATGAAGTCGTTTGTTCCAAATGTGTGAATGCCATGTAAGCCGTCTGTCGAGATGCATACCAAGGTACTTAACTTCGTTGGATTGTGGAAGCATGACATTATTCAATGTTACTGGGGGACAAGTTCTTGCAGACATAGTAAATGTAACTTGAACGGATTTTGTTTCATTTACTTTAATTTTCCAATTCTGTAGCCACTGAGACAAATCGTCTAATGCAGCCTGAAGGTTTGATGATGCTAGAATAGGATCCTGATTTGATGATAAAAAAGCAGTGTCGTCTGCAAATGTTGAAACCGTAATACCCTGAGTACTTGGAAGGTCATAAGTGAACAAAATATACAAAATAGGTCCAAGAACACTGCCTTGTGGTACACCTGATTCAATTTCATGCACATCTGTAACTATATCTTGATATTTAATTTGAAAAAAAACGTTTGGACAAATACGATTTCAACACTCCATAGTATGTATGGGGCAGCAAAGTTTTAATTTTGAACAATAATCCTGTGTGCCAGACTTTATCAAACGCCTGGGCTACGTCCAAAAAAGCAGATGAACAAAAACGTTTATTTTCAAGATCTTCCTTGATTACATTCACTATTCTATGCACTTGCTCAATGGTGGAATGCCTTCGGCGGAATCCAAACTGATGGGAAGGCAACAATTCTTTTTCATCAATTATAATTTGGAGTCTTTTTAAGAAATTTTTTTCAAAAACTTTAGAAACCACAGGAAGAAGAGATATAGGCCGATACGAGGATGCTTGATTTAAAGGTTTACCAGGTTTCGGAATAACAACAATTTGTGAAACTTTCCACTGTATTGGGAAGTATTCAAGGCGTAAAACTGCATTGAAAAGTACTGTAAGGAAAACTATTCCTTTTCTAGGAAGCTCGCTGGGGGTGGCCACAATAGGCGACAGTTTCAACCTTTCAGTTTACTTTTTTACCATACCAGTAAATATTTTTTCAAAATGTTGTATTGTATTTTCAAAATCGTGACATTAATTATGGAAATAAATAATTATCTATGACAGTTTTTGATTGTTTTTGGACGATTTTAGAATACATGTACATGTTTTTTACTATTATTTGCAGTATCATACAATTTAAGCGAATTTTTTACAAATTAAATCATATAGTTACAGTATTTTCATACGTGCACCGGTGCCTCTTTATATTTCGTACTAGGTCACGTAATAGTTTTTAACTATTTACCTGCAACAAAAGAAATACAATTTTTACCGAATAAAAGTGTTAAATTATGTTTCTTAAACCAATGTGGGCGTCAAAATCGCCAAATCACAGTTTAATGCTTGCTGATGCTATTTATTGTATATCTAAATACCCCCACCACAAAAAACCTGCATACTAAGCAAATTTACATTTGTTTGGCTAGATTTCTATTAAAATATTTACTTAAACTTGTTGGATTTATTTCCAATTTAAATAAGATGAATTTAAATTAATGCTTAGGTTTGCTGGTACAGATAAAGTAACCTGCTGAGGTGTGCTTGTAAATTTAAATTTTAGTATAGTTTAAATTTATTTATTATTTTTTTTTGTATAAAATTAACAATATTGACAAATTTTATTAAAATATAACCGTAAACAAGCAAACTGCAACAGTTTATTCTCCATAAAAATGGGCATTATAAATTTACAATTGTTAAAAATTATCTCCGTAACCGTTAGGCGTACAACAACGCTTAAAAGGACAAAATCATTTTTTTTAGCTTACAAAACAGTTTGGAAGGGAATTGTGAAACTTATGTTTTACGGTCAAAAAAAGAAAACCCAAATTTTATACCCCATAACAATTTTTAACCCCCATTCTCATTGATCATTCTGATTTGAGAGTTCGTTTGAATTAACGTTGGTTTCAACATTTATACCAAATTTCATTAAAATCTCATCATGCTCAAGTTATCGCGCTAATGGGCACATCGAACTATATAAACATAAAATATATACACTGCATATTTATATAGATACATATGTACTTATATATGAATTTGAACAGAGGATATTTTTGCCTATGGGGACCTCAAAACGGAAAATTAAGTCGGTCCCGGGTTTAGTTCCTACCATGCAACCTAAGGTAATAGCTTAATCCCTATATGGAAAATTTGCTAAAAAGAAGATAAACCACAGGTATGGAGTGAATTACCTGAAACAACAATGTTTATAGATGGCGTATTTAAATATTGTAACTTTATAGTAGTATCTTCGGATGAGCATAGCTTTGGCGAGCTAATGACATTGAAGACTACGCTCGGCATTTGAAAAATACACGAGGTTTTGGATTCCTGTTATACCAGAAGAGTTAACTCTCATATAATATAATACTATGTACCTATACTACTATATATAATACATATACTTATATTATTATTATTATATTATTATATATACTATATGTAATATAATAATAATAATTCATATAATGATAGCATATAGCATATTATGCTACAGGACACATTTTAACATGTCGACACTTATTTTAAAGATAAAAATATTTGTATTTCAAAAGCATATTTTCCATATTTAAAAATTGCCAGTCCAAAACTAAACAATATAGATATGAAAATAGAGCAGCAAAGGGGGTGTGAGCGAGCGACTTGTCGCCTAGTATAGCCGGTGCCATAAGATAACATGGGGAGCGTATTTGTCGCCGCGACCGAAAAACGCTCCCGGTCGCGTTTATTTTTCTGTCGCCGGTGGTCGCTAGTCGCGAGTCGCTTAAGTGTGGCCGCCTCCATTTCATTTAATGCTACGTACTTTCATTCATTGTCGCCGCGACAAAGTCGCCAAGTGTGGCCCTAGCCTAACACTTATTTATTTAGCAATTAATGCAGTGAAATTGATATAAAGGATAGGTGTGACGTTTTATGTGTACTGTGAATTTGATTGGATATTATCGTTTTATTTTAGGTCGTTTCTATTCAGACCTACTGGAAATTGTGTATAGTAGTTGTATTGTGGTGAAAATAATTATGGAAGAGGCAGGTATGCTATGGAAGGTGGTATCGTTGACTAAGTCTATACACTTATCAATTGACTATTACTCTCTCTACTGTAGGCTACTTATAATCAGTGTGCGTCTGTGCGAATCGGCTGCAAATCTCACTTCAACGCTTTTCACATCGTAAAAATTGCAGAATTGCTGTTTTATTGTAAAATTATCGGATTTAAAAAGCATAACGTATAGGCCTATGATGGAATAAAAACATATTTGGTCACACAAAATATGTTTACAAGATGATTTTTCACATTAAAACTGCAAGAAACTTTGTCTTTATATGTGTAAACTAGCTGATCTGAATTGTACACGGTTTTAACTGACTACTGAATTCCCGTACGTAGGACGGGCTAACACCTCGTTTAGTTTATAATAAATTGTGTACTGAAGATAATACACCCTCTTATGTTACAATAACTATAGGTATTCCAAACTTCTTTTAGTACATTAGGTATTTACATTAACTATAATATTATGTTAATGTAACTAGACTAGAATTGACAAATTGATTCAAGTTTAGTATTTTATGTTCAAGGGTTGGTATAACTTAAGTCAGGACAAAAAGAAACATAGATCTTGTTATCTGTTATCCTTATCTTGACTAGAAAACAACTAGCAACTAGCTAATCAGTGTTTAGTTGAGTAGAGAGTAACTTCAGGGCACAGACAATGGAAACCCTATTGTAACATAATAACATTAAAGTATTATATTGTCTGTGTTCAGGGAGGTTAAACTGCACAGTTATCATCCTAAACACATGATGATAAACTTGATTTGATCAACTCTTGCAAATAGGAAGAAACAGGAATTTTTCTTTTCAAATGCTTGATGGTAGATAAAAATTACTGTAGACTTGCTCAAGAGAGTGATGTTGAATTTGAATGTTTAGTTGAACAGAAAAGGATATTAAAACATGGTTTGAATGTTTAGTTGAACAGAAAAGGATATTAAAACATGGTAAGTAAAGGTTATTTAATATTTTAGTTTACATCTGTTATCGAAGTAAAGTGTATATTTAAAACTGCATTTTCTGTAATTTATGTATAACTGCTATTAACTTATTCATTGTTAACATGAAATAGTTATTTACCGGTAAATAATTTCGGTTTAGTGTGTGAAGTGACACTTTGCTGCACGGCATGTGCGGTAAGTTTCTTGAGTGCAGTAAAAGGCACTTTGCTCTCTTGTTCGTGTTACATATTATATTTTTCCTACAGTTACTATCAGGCATATAAATAATCAATCTTTCAAACACTTAACAACATGTTTTAGATTAGGTTAAATCCAAGCGTTGAACGGAAATAGCCTGCTTTGTCAGGTAACTGTAGGAAAATATAGGTTTTTATTTGTGTTTGAAATTCTTTGTGATTCATAGCCTACATGAAATTCTATAGTAGATTATATGGTCCCGGTAACATCTATACAGGGTGAATATGTTTAATGGGACAACATACAATTGTACCCATTAATTTATTTAATTCTAAATTTTAAGAAAATTGGTTCATAAAAGGGAGGTAACTCATTTTAAAGATAGGCTGTTGATCAAACAATATGAGTGGTCAATGGTCATTATGGTTAAGATCAACACCATGTTCGAATTCATATAAATGTTTACAGGCAAAGTATGGTAATGCAGACATTTTAACTTGCTTAAAGCTTATAGGCAAAGTATGAAATAGTATAATAACAATTTGATTTTATTCACTTTGACTAGGCATAAAGGCATTTTGTATGTCGACATGTGTGTCAGGCAAAGTGCTTGGAAGTATTTAGCATATAAAGATTATTTTTGTGTATAATTAGATTAGGTTGGCTAATTTTAGTTAACTCTAGAATATGAATATACTTAACAGATTACCCGTCCTTCATACAGGGTTGGCGTATAAGAGTGTAACATGCTCATTGCAGTTATACTCATGCTTGCGTTTGCAACAGGGGGAAGAAGCGGTTTTGGAAATTTTGGTTATTAAAACTACGGTGATGGTTAACACATCTACCATCATAACCATAATGTTTTACCACTGCACCTAAACTAGCCTATAGAAAAAAATAAATGTTCAAACAATTAGCATTACAACTGAATCTAATTTCCCTTTAATGTACTTTTAGTAATGATACAGAATAAACTGGAATATTACGATTCTTAGTTGTAAAATGGGGTAGCATAAGGCCCCAGTCGGGCTTGCCCCATTTTACAACTAAAAGCCATAAAATTTCAGCTATTTCTTATTCGATTATTTTGAACTTGGCAACGTTTGATAGGGAATTAAAAATTCTAAATAAAAGTATCCTTGACATTTTTCATAAAATCAGCCATTTTTTTGTAATTTAAGTTAAAAGATTAAAATGGCTGCCACTAACATTTTAGTCGAATGAAGATGAGTTTTTTCTTCTAACATGGGTCTTTTCAACCTTAACAAACATACCAAGTTTCATAAAGTTCGGTTGTAAAAATTAAAAGAAAATGTTTATGTAAAAAATACAAACTGGCGATCTCTGGTTAACGAAGCTATTTTGAAAAAAATGTTATTCTTGGTTTTCTCTTTTTATTTTCACCCAAGGAATAACCACGTAAAATACATGTCCCCGCATTTTTTTAACATGCTGTATAAGACTATAGGATATGTATCAGTGGAAACTCGACAACAAGAGTCTCATGGGGATAATTTAATAAGACTTGTTATCAAGGTTGACTTCTTATCGAGGTTTGCAATGTGATTAGGGGTAAAATAAGTCCTAGGGGATTAAAAAATTACACTTGTTATCAAGGGTCTTGTTAATGTTAATTTGGATTTAATTTGGAATTAACACTGTATATATGAATTTGAACAGATAGTGTTTTTGGCCTCTGGGCTGATCAAAGTGAAATAGTAAATCGGTCCCGTGTCTAGGCCTTTCCATGAGACTTACGGTAATAGCTAATATATGGGAAATTTGCTAAAATATTATAAGCTGTCAGCTGTTATTTCAAACCTGTTGTTGTTCCACTTCCAGGGTAAGGTGGGAAGGGTGGAGGGGATATGGATTCCACTCTAACCTCCTAAATTTTGTGAACGGAGTTTAACAATGAGCTTATGTGTGTGTGTGTGTACGGTCTACACACGGGGACTATTTCAACATCTTACATTCATATATTTCTATTTATTTTGTGTTAAAATAACTTTAATTAGGTTAGCCTAAATAAATAAAACAAACATAAGATTATTGCAACCTTAAATGGCAATTTTACAATGAATAGTTTTCTGCAAGGTTCCTTTTCAAGACAAATATTTTGAGTTGAGGGTTCCAATTAATTATTTATGTTGAAGGACGTTAATTTGTGTTTTCTGAAAAAATTCCATTTCCAGGAGGATGAAGATTTAAAACAGTTGCTGGATCGGGTAGAGAGGATCGCTCGATGTCCAGTGTGCCTGGAGTTGGTCAGAGCACCAATCGTCTTGTGTGTCAACGGACACGTAACTTGCGGCCGGTGTAGGAATAATGCTGGCAACTGCCATGTGTGTCTTCAACCGTTCAGTGACGTCTCTTCCAGGGTCTTGGAGGAGGTGCTGTCAGCGTTGCCACAGCTCTGTCCTAATGAAATGTGTGGGGTTGTTACTATCTTGGATAATCACTCTAAGTACTGTGTTTACAGACAGATAAAGTGTACCAATTGTCAATGGTTTGGAGCCGTCATTGAGTGGATTGAACATGTTAAAACACACAATTCCAGTGTTCTAAAATTAAATGTCACCAAATGCTTATACATCAACGATTTCCTGGACGGTTGGAAATCTAAGTATTTCAATTATCCAATCGAAGACCAACATTTTATTTTTAAATGTTGGAAGAAAGGAAACAAATTGTATCACAGCTTCAGACATGTTATGTGTGAGAGATCTAGTGTTGAGTACGGTGTGATATTTGAGTACAATCGTGGCCAGCAAACTGTGTATAAAACTTTTGTCGAAGTCCTACCATACGAAGATGATGAGTCCATGGAGACAAATGCAGCTGTTTTTCCTATCCATGAATTGAAGGAACTAGTTAGTGAGAAAGGCAGTTTGCCAATCTCTATCACAGTAAAAACTCTTTCTTCAGGGAAAGTAGAATAACTGTGTGAAACCTTTTGTTGCACATTTGTATAAGAAATAAAATAACACAAGCGAGGATTTTTTAATAATTTTATGAGCATATATATATTATAATTATATTAATCAGAGGTCTAGCATATCAACAGATTTTCTTGTTTAGTATTCAATTAAATAACCTTGGGAAATGTTTAGCTATAAGGTAAAAAAGAATATACAGTAAATAAGTTTTTTCTTGAGACTTTGTTATCAGTTTAGCATTTTTTCCCTTTAAAAAACCTCTTGAAAAAAAACCTCTTGAAAAAAAACCTCCTGAAATCCTGTCAGTCTTAGGGATGTTTTGCAGATTTTGTGAGGAACTACAAAAGCTTACTTTACTCACCAAAATAATAATAAAAAAAATGTAAATCTACAATTAAGTTTACAACCCTTCATATACTAAATTATTTGATTTTTAAGCTCTGTACACATGACCTAGACAAACATTGCTAATTATTTGTTTTGTAAAAAATGGGAACATCTTTTTTTTACCCCATATAATCCTGTTCCCTTAGTCTGATCATGTTGGTCTGTGATGTTCGAATAAACATTGTTTAGTATGCAGTTTGTACCTTTAAAGAGGATAGCATAGCTAGCTTACCTTGAAAAAGTAAAGGTATACTATAGAACATACAGCAGGCACACAATAATTCGTCACCTGGGACTTTGTCAAGTGTAGAGAAAGTGATAAAAAGTTAACAAAATGGCTGCTGTCATGGCTATAGCCAACTATCTAGTGTTGCTACATCACTAGGTCAAGTCAAGTCAAGTCAAGTCAAATAAATTTTTTTTCAGATATACAACAATGTGTACATGAATGCATGAATGGTCTATCTTAGGTTAAGGTTGGAGGGAGTTCTGGAGTTGGTTACACACTGGATTGCCAGTTCCCACCTTCCCAAATTGAAAAGCTTTCTTTAGGTGGATGGTGATCAATAATTTAACTTGTTCTGTAACGATACGTCCAGAGTGCACGCCGATTCAGATTCAGATTTTCGGCACGTGATTAATCTGAGTCAGATATTTTGTTGGTGGCCACAGTGGAAGCAGGAAATACGTTGCCGGTACTGACTCGGTAGCAAAGAAGCAAGTCAGTCGTTGTTAGGAATTGTCGGATGAGGAATTTACGTGTAAAATTATATCGTCTGAAAATGTTGTGAAGTTACAGCCAGTGAAAACTGGTGTTCATGATATTATATAAATCTTTTCCTATAGCTGGAATAAAAATGATAGAGCTTCTTTCTAGGTTTATTGCGATGAATGGAGCCCGAAACCACCGAAACTTGTTATTAAAATTGGACATCGTATTGTAAGAAACTGGTGTAACCTAGATAAACAAAAATCCTGAAGACCGTTTAGTGGTAACCTTAAATGTAAGAATGAAAAAAATTCAATATTTTACTATAAAAACATAATTTATTTAGCTAAATAGTATGCGTACGAGCCAAATCTGAATCGGAATCTGAAACCAGAATGAAGAATTCATTCCGGTAAGCAAGTGCCTGCGCGCGGGCTCGGAAACCGGCAGCCACTACAACCACTTCCATTTGAATTCAAGTGCTATTTCTGTCGCCGAAAATCTGAATCAGAATCGGCGTGCACTCTGGACGTACCGTAATTCGACAATGCTGACTACCTTATTAGACATTACCAGACACCTTATTATCAAAGGTTTGTGATTTTATCTTTAGAATAGAGTTTAATCTTTAGACCAGGGGTGGCTAAAGATAGCGTGAAATTGCAGAAATATGCTAGGGAGTTTTAAAATGGCTGTGAAAATGGTCATTTTGGAAGGAATTGTGTTTTTGGTGAGTATCCAGTCAAAGAAGACCACTAAAGCACGGGTCACACTAGACTGTTTGCCAGCCGCTGGTGATCAGCAGCTGGCACCAGCATCACCGGCTCACCAATCCAGGCTGAGTCAGCTCAGTGTCAGCTGCGAATTTTCTGGTCACATTAAGCTGACAGTCGCGGCTTCTTTCAATTCGCCGCTGATGCCAGCCTAGTGTGACCCGTGCTTAAGATAAAAGAGTTCACACTCCACTCCATAACGCATTTCCGCACTTAACCCTCAATGGCCTCACTCACAGTATTAAAGACATCACCTTCAGTCATTTGGGGATGAGGCGATGAATGTCAGCATCAGATATGTTTCTTGTAATCAAAAAACATATCACTGACCTTACCTTGGAGGCGGCAGGAGATTAGATGTTAAAATACCCCCGCCGCAGCAAACCTGCAGACTAAGCGAATTTCAACTTGTCTGATTACATTTTTACTAAAATATTTCCATAAATAAGACATATTATTCCCTATTTAAATAACATTAGATTTAACGAGTGCTTAGGTTTGCTGCTACAGGGAAGGTAAAAAGTGTTTTTTGACCATACGTCAATAGTATATAGGATGAAATAAATAAATTTGCCAAATAAATTTGCCAAATACATATTAGTAAAAAGTCTCTTATCTATATACCCATAAACAAGTAAACTACAACAATTTTCATTTTCTCCATAAGAATAACATGGGAATTTTAAATTACACTATTTTTGAATTTTCTCCGTGACTGTTAGGCATACAACAGCGCTTCAATATACTAAATTATTCCTTTTTTTAAGCTCTACAAAACGTTTTAGAAAGAAATCGCAAATTTTTTTGTTTTTAGGGTCAAAAATGGGAAAAACCCATTTTTACCCCATAAACCCCCGTTCCCATGGTCCGATTATGCTGGATCGCGAACTCGTTAGAATAAACGTAGCTTTACACGTTTGTACCAAATTTCATCAAAATCGGATCATTTTTGCTCGAGTTATCGCACTAACGGACACACATATATATCAATTTGAACGGATGGTGTTTTTGGCCTCTAGGGACCTCAAAACTAAAAATTAAATCGGTCCCGGGTCCAGGTCTTACCATGAGTACTACGGTAATAGCTTATTCCCTATATGGGAAATTCGCTAAAAACACACAGCAAAGATTACATGACAGCTACAGAGCTGAAATTTGTGTAATTCTGTTCACTAATGATACCAGTAAAATGGTGATTATCCTCGGTGTGGCGTACAAGCGAACTACAGATTTATACGTGAAAACGGCACAGACCCTTACTTAACAACCACTCTCGTATTTAAATATTTTGAGGAGTCAGTTAAACCAAGGATGAATACAAGAGATTCTACTGAAGGGAGACAAGACCAAAACCGGTTATTAAAATAAAATTTAAAGAAATCATTGATAAAATTATGATATTTACAATTCTCCTCAATTTATCCAGGCATTACTAAAGCAGATTTAATTTTGTAATGCACTCTTATAAATAAAAAATCCAGGCATTTCTAGTACATACATTTAAAACCAAACTGTCAAGTCTCTAAAAGCTGGGCTGATAAGTTATACCAGTACCACTATTGTTTAATATTAATATTGTTAATATTATTGTTAAATCTTAATTTTGTTAAATTTTAATTTTCATAATCTATAATGACTATATAGTTTGTAAACATAGGTTTAAAATTTACTTGGATAAGGATGGTAGAAGTGATCTTTAATATAATGTAGAATCAAGTTTCTTTTTCTTTTAAGGTTTGTATGAGTAACTACAAATTGTAAGCATTTAGTTTATAATAAATTGTGTACTGCGAAGATAATACACCCTCTTATGTTACAATAACTATAGGTATTCCAAACTTCTTTTAGTACATTTTACATTAACTATAATATTATGTTAATGTAACTAGAATTGACAAATTGATTCAAGTTTAGTATTTGATGTTCAAGGGTTGGTATAAGTCAGGACAAAAAGAAACATAGATCTTGTTATCTGTTGTCTTTATCTTGACTAGAAAACAACTAGCAACTAGCTAATCAGTGTTTAGTTGAGTAGAGAGTAACTTCAGGGAGGTTAAACTGTACAGTTCGTCTTAAACACATGATGATAAACTTGATTTGATCAACTCTTGCAAATAGGAAGAAACAGGAATTTTGCTTTTCAAATGCTTGATGGTAGATAAAAATTACTGTAGACTTGCTCAAGAGAGTGATGTTGAATGTTTAGTTGAACAGAAAAGGATATTAAAACATGGTAAGTAAGGTTATTTAATATTTTAGTTTACATCTGTTATCTAAGTAAAGTGTATATTTAAAACTGCATTTTCTGCAATTTATGTATAACACTATTGCTATTATTCATTGTTAACATGAAATAGTTATTTGCCGGTAACTAGTGTGTGAAGTGACAATTTGCTGCACGGCATGTGCGGTAAGTTTCTCGAGTGCAGTAAAGGCACTTTGCTCTCGAGTTACATATTATATTTTTAGTTGAACGGAAATAGCCTGCTTTGTCAGGTAACTGTAGGAAAATATATTTATTTAAGTTTGAAATTCTTTGTGATTCATATTTTAGCCTACAAATTCTGTAGAAGATTATATGGTCCTGGTAGGTAACCTCTATAGGGTGAATATGTTTAATGGGTCAACATATAATTGTACCCCATTAAATTGATTTGATTCTAAATTTTAAGAAAATTGGTTCATAAAAGGGAGGTAACTCATTTGAAAGATAGGTTACTGTTGATCAAACAATATGAGTGGTCAATGGTCATTATGGTTAAGATCAACACCATACGTTTGAATTCATATAAATGTTACAGGCAAAGTATTATAATGCAGGAATTTTAACTTGCTTAAAGCTTTTAGGCAAAGTATAAAGTATGAAATATTATAATAACAACTAGATAGCCTGTTGCTCGAAATCGAGCAAAACTGCAACTTGTAATAAAATAATGAAGAACAAAAAACATAAACAGCAAAACCTCAATCATTGAATCGCTCTAAAGTAATTAAATGTGAAAAATATTATGATGTAAAAAATTATAAAAGTAATCTACGGTAAAATATTTAAATATAGATCCATTCTCATACTGCTTTGGTTATCTCTTATGTACTGTGGGTGGGTGTCCTCTATGAGAACTTACATGTCAACCACACACTGTAAAGCTGTGCTGTAAAGTTAGTTTTTCAGACCTAATGCAGCAAGCTAAATCCCTCTCTTGACGCCAACCAGTACGACACATACTATAGCATTGTTAAATTATTTCTACGATATGTTCTGTTTTAGGCGTGTTTAAATTAGGTGCCCCAAACAAAGTCTCCGGTTTGGAACAAAAGAGTGGATTTAATGACGTATCTAGAAGGGATTCATGTTTGACACTATTCTTTTTAGAAAAAAAAAGATTTATTTGGGCAGGTGGTGCTCTGTTTTCAGCTTTAAAATAGCTGCGACGTCTATACAGGTAGCATCATTGTAGCAAGGGAAGTCACTTATTTTGTCTTTTATGCACTGAAGAATCTAACTTGACTCCTCGGAGCTCTCGTCCCTACAAATTTCTGCCACAGTTTTAAAAGATTGGGCAAATGGGTTGGCATTGTCACCCTACTCCTGCATATTTTTTCGTTTCATTTTTTGTTTGAATTGTTTTACATGCGCTGTTGGGTTCTAGTGCTAACGTCGTACTTATAGATCTGTGCGTATTCAGGATCATGACCTTCTTGAGGAATTAGATTACCTACTCAGTGGTAAAACGTGTCATGGATCTTGAAATTGTAGATCCCCCTGTGCGACCCTCTCGTCAAAATTAACTTCAGAGCTGACCATGGCAAAGGCGGAATTGAATTGACGAATTTTATCCAGATAATTTCTGTATCCAAGCCTCACAGCCTTGTTTTCAGATTGGGAGTTTCCAATAAGTTCCTGAAAGTATGGTGAATTCCGAAAATGAGGTAATCGAACCTTTCATTTATGGCAACAAAGAGTAAAAATTGAACTGTCTCGGCCAGTCTTTTCTTGCTTAAAATGGAAGCCACCACAATGCAAATATTTAACGTGATCAATTATCAATTATTTAAGATGGGGATGCCACTATGTGCGTATTTTAACCCAAATATGAGTGAAGGATGAGTGGCGCGATCTTGTAGTCTTGTTAGTGACTAAGGCCGACATGTTAATTTGTCCGAGGTTGGATGTATCACCACGGTGGTACTGCCACTCTGTATCCGTCAAATTGGGAGGTTGATGCAAGCGGTCACGTTTGCGTTCCCTCCAGCCACTCACAGTTCTTTGTCTTTCTTGTGGCATTTAATTTTAAATTTAGATAAAATGCTTAAGTTAACCAATCAACAGAAAACACTAAAAGGAATTTTGATACTCATTGTAAATTACATGATAATATGGTAATGTAAAGGGTAACTGCACTGTGAATAATCACTTTCAAACATTCACTTAATCACGCCGAACTGTAAACAAAACTACCGGTACACGATAATTCAGTAAAATACGATGTAAGGTAAATAAATTTAACATTTACAAACAATTTGTTGTCAGGTCTTGCAAGGAAACTCTTTATTTTTATGAACCAGACTTAGTTAACAGATGTTTAAATAAAAATATAAAATTCCGGCTTTGCTCTGTAAACAAAGGAAATTGAGTTTGTTGGTTTGAACTATTGTCAACAGATAGCGCCGCCGATCCCAAACTTTAGCCCTTAACTGTACTTAAGTGCTGCCCTTTCTTAATATTCTGGCACATCTACATGAAAATACCTTTAATTTGACACCTCAAACGTTAAAATCCGTCCAGCCGTTATCGAGTTATGACTGTGAAAAGAAACCTGCTTGCGTATTAATATATAGATTTGATTTTATTCACTTTGACTAGGCATAAAGGCATTGTGTATGTCCACATGTGTGCCAGGCAAAGTGAAAGTGTTAGGAAGTATTTAGCATATTAAGATAAATTATTGTGTATAATTAGATTAGGTTGGTTAATTTTAGTCAACTCTAGAATATACTTAACAGAGTACTGTCCTTCGTACGGGGTTGGTGTATAAGAGTGTAGGTAACATGCTATTGCAGTTATACTCATGTTTTGAGTTTGGAATGGGGTGAAAAGTGGTTTTGGAAAATTTGGTTATTAAAACCATAGATAAAACATACTCCCTTAGTAGATTTCTCATATGGAACAGCTGAAGACAATTTTATTGTTAGTTCTGTACGGTTTATGTAGAGGTCGTGTTTTGTTAACAATTTGCTTCCCGTTATTACAGCCATTTAAAACCTCGTTTAAACAAATAATACGATCTAATCATAAATAATAACTTGTCCCCTAGTTATATAACCAAACAGTAAAGCACAAATCAAGAAATTAACCCTAAAATAATAGAAACAAAGTTTCGTCGACACTAGTGCCCATGTGTCACATACATGAACTAGACACGAAAAATGTGCTTCAAAATTTACTTGATACTTACTTGATACTTGTAGGTATCCCATTAGTAGCACGGGTGTGCCATGGTCGTCAAAGTTTTGGCCTATTCTTGATTTAAGAACTCTTCTACTGAGTAGTAAGGCCTAGTCGTTAAATATTCTTTAAACTTGGATTTGAACTTCTCCGCATCTTCAATTTCCCTTATGGCAGCTGGAATTTTATTGTAAATTCTTATGCATGTAGGTCTTGGTTCATCTCTCACTAAACTGGATGAAACTTGTGGTACATGTAACATTGGGATGAGAAGTCTACTTGTGTTGGTTAGTCTATGTTAAAACTATTGAGATTGTTAACACATCTACCATAACCATGTTTTACCACTGCACCTATAAACTATAGAAAAAAATGAATGATCAAACAGGGTGGTCGCGAATAAACGTTAAACATTTGATTGGAATTTTGAATTTTTTATGTTATTTTAAAACTTTCATCAACATTTAACAGTACCATCGCGTTCTCCACAAAACTTTGTATAAAAACACATGTATATCAACTTGCCTAAATCTGCATTGCTACTTATAAATTTGAATAGAAATAAAAATTTGAGTTTTTCAAAAAAATATTAAAAAATTTGTAAACATAAAACTTTATTAAAAAAAGGTTTCAAAGAGCAGCAAATACTTTTAAAAACTGCTCCATAATCTAAGCTTTCAAACAATACCATAAAACGTAATATTTGATCCCGATATATGTCCGCTATTCAAGTTTGAATGGCGTGAAACACAGGTTATCCAAAACATTTTACTATTAAAAACCGTAAAACATGGGTCTTTTTAACCTACACATACATACCAAGTTTCATAAAGATCGGTTGAAAAAATTAAAAGAAAATGTTTATGTAAAAAAATACAAAATGGCGGTTAACAAAGCTATTTTGTGAAAAAATTTATTCTTGATTTTCTCTTTATTTTCACCCAAGGAATCACTATGGATGGAATCACATATGGACTCCAAAACCGCTCGACAGATTGTAATGAAACTTTCAGGCATTATTAAGCAATATTCAAGGATGGTTTGTGTGAAGTTTGGCGCAGATCCGTCAAAAGGGCTCCGCCCCAGTGGCTCTGGAGATTCCCATGTTAACCTTATGAGTACTCATATTTAAATGGAATTAAAGAATCTTAACAGCTGGTTCAACTAAACAATTTGATTCTCTGATGTTCAATAGCATTAAAAAGTTAATAGGTTTACCAACAGAGTGCAGCACTATTATTAGCGAATTTCATATATAGGGAATATTAGCGAATTTCCTATATAGGGAATCAGCTATTACCGTAGTACTCATGGTAAGACCTGGACCTGGGACCGATTTACTTTTTCGTTTTGAGGTCCATATAGAGGCTAAAAACACCATCCGTTCAAATTTATATATATATATGTGTCCGTTAGCACGATAACTCAAGCAAAAATGATCCGATTTTGATGAAATTTGGTACAGACGTGTAAACCTACATTTATTCTAACGAGTTCGTGAACCAGCATGATCGGACTATGGGAACGGGGATTTATGGGGTAAAAATAGGGTTATCCCATTTTTGAACCTAAAAACACAACATTTCACAATTTCTTTCCAAACGATTTTGTAGAGCTTAAAAAATAAACAATTGAGTATATTGAAGCGTTATTATGCGCCTATTGGTTACGGAAAACATTCCAAAAAACTGTAAATTTAAAATTCCCATGTTATTCTTATGGAGAATAAGTCAACGGTTGTAGTTTGCTTGTTTATGAACATATTTTGGAAAATACATTCATTTCTTACTAAAATATTAAAATTTTCCAAAAAAAAAATGACTTTTTACCCTCCCTGTTACAGCAAACCTGTGGATGTAGTTTTACAATGAGCTTGTGCTACGGTCTACACACGGGGACTATTTTTACATCTTACATTCATATAGTTATATTTATTTTGTGTTAAAATAACTTTATTAAGGTTAGCATAACCCAAACATAATAGTACAAATAGTGATGTGGGCCGGGTAAATACCCAGTGGGTAGGTAAATATAAATTGGGTATTTACCTGGGTATTTACCCCAGGCCTGGGTAAATACCCAAAAACTGGGTATTTATAATTTTTATTAAAGTTAGAGAAGATTGAGATTTTTTTTGCAATTATTACCCTGAAAGGATAGTAAAATGATGATAAAATGTGTTGAACAAAATTTCATATGGTCACTACTAGCATTTTACTTCTCGGTATAATCGCCATAAATACCCAGGTCTGAGCATAAAGCATAATCTGCATAAATACCCTGGTCCCATGGTTGCACTGGTCCTGACTACTTGTGATTTTTTAATTTCTATGCTAGATAGATGAATTTATTTTATTGGAAGTGAAGAAAAATAATTTGTAAAGTAATAATTATTATTTAGAAAGACAGGAAAATGTAACCTAGTAGTGGCCTATGTGTAAACAACTTAAGAAAATAATTAAAATTCAATCTGTAGGATGGCAGGATTTAATAATATTTTTGTTCTAGATCTTTTGTTGGTATTAATAGTATCAAAATAAAAAAACTAATTTCATAAACTTGTGGTACAAAACATTTGAATCTATAGCACAATAAATCTTTCAACAATTCCTGGATATTTATAAATCAAAATAATTTTGTTTATGTTATTTAATTGGTTATAAATTTATAAAATGATAAAAATTGAAATAGCTACAGCCTTTTTTAATATAGGCTACTATTTTTTAGTAAGTTAAATATAACTGATGTTACTCGATTTAAGACACGAAACCCCATGCTTATTTATAATAAAAAAAAGTGCTAAATCATTAAATAAAAGGAAGCCTACTAGCAAAGCTTGAAGTAAAAGGTGTTATAGACTATCCGTTATTAATCATGTAATGATAACAATAACATATTAAGGGGTAAATATAAATGAATTTCAATCGATTTCATAAATACCCAAAATACCCGGGTATTTATGGATTTTGGGTACTTACCCGGGTAAATACCCAGGGTATTTACCCCGAGTTTTAAATACCCGGGTATTTTACATCACTAAGTACAAACAGTCGAGAACCCCTGAGTAAAATCAAATATCCATAGCAAATTTATCTGTGTAAGTTAAAGAACATACAAAGTATCCTTTAGTCCCCTCCCCCCTTTAGTTCTTTGAGTTTTTAAAGATTTGTACCTTAAATGGCAATTTTACAATGAATAGTTTTCTGCAAGGTTTCTTATCAAGACAAATATTTTTAAGTAGAGGTTTCATAGGGTGTGTTCCAGACCGCCTCGTGTATAATCCAATTTTTTAAAGTTGAAATATGCAAGAGGTTAATTTTTCTTTTAATCTGTCCAAGTAATCCTAAAGTTGTCTGTAGGGCAACCAGTTTCGACGTCTATGGTTGGTCTAAGGAGGTTGCGATTTTAAGTCCAGCTTGACAATGACGCCATACCCGTTGAAACCGGTCGCCCTACAGACGACTTAAGGATTATTTGGACAGAATAAAGGTAACTTAACCTCATGCTTATCATTTGTGAAGTAATCCAGAAGGCAATACACAAAATAAATATATGTTGAAGGTCGTTAACTTGTGTTTTCTGAAACAATTCTATTTCCAGGATGATGAAGATGTAAAACAGTATCTGGATCAGGTAGAGAGGATCGCTCAATGCCCAGTGTGTCTGGAGTTGGTCAGAGCGCCAGTCGTCTTGTGTGTCAACGGACACGTAACTTGCGGCCAGTGTAGGAACAATGCTGCCAACTGCCATGTGTGTCGTCAACCGTTCAGTAATGTCTCTCCCAGGGTCTTGGAGGAGCTGCTGTCAGCGTTGCCACAGCTCTGTCCTAATGAAAGGTGTGGGGTTGTTACCTTCTTGGATAATCACTCCAAGTATTGTGTTTACAGACAGATAAAGTGTAGAGTTGCCAATTGTCAATGGTCTGGAGCCGTCATCGAGTGGTTTGAACACATCAACAACATCCATACCTCTCAAACATCTAATCTATAAAAGAGTACAAACTAAATGTGGTCATTACATACTATTGTCAATCACCAGTTTCCTAGGCAATTGGAAATGTGTTTATTACAATCATGTAGTTGAAGACCAACATTTTATTATGAAATGTTGGAAGAAAGGAAACGATCTCTATCACAGCTTCAGACATGTTATGTGTGAGAGATCTAGTGTTGAGTACAGAGTTATAGTTGAGTACAAGCGTGGTCAGCAAACTGTGTATAGAACTTTGATTGAAGTCCAACCATATGAGGATGATGAGTCCATGGAGACCAATGCAGCTGTTTTTCTTATTGATGAATTGAAGGAACTGGTTAATGAGGATGGCCATTTGCCAATCTTTATTACAGTAAAAACTCTTTCTTCTAAGGGAGAGTAAAATAACTGTGTGAAACTTGCTGTTGCATGTTTGTTTGACAAATAACATAATACAAGTGATGCATGTATTTTTGTTAATCAGAGGTATAGCATATTATTTTCTTGTTTAGTATTCAATGAAAACCTCTTTGGGAAATGGGAATGTTGTTTAGCTTTACGGTAAAAGCCATATTATACAATAAATAAATATGTTTTTTCCTTGAAATTTTGTAATCTGTGTAGAATTTTTCCCTTTGAACCCATAAACCTACCTCAAATTCTGTCAGTCTTAGGGGTTTTTTTTTTTGCATATTTTGTGAATAACTACAATAGTTAACTTACTCTATAAAAGAATAATAAACTAATTTTAAATTTACAATTCTTAAAAATTGTCTCTGTTACCATTAAATGCACAACACTTTAATAAACTCAATTATTTGATTTTTAAGCCGTACATTGTCATTGTGGTTTAAAACGCCCATTAGTTATCCCATTAAATCCTGTTCTCCTAGTCTGATCATGCTCAGGGCCGCAGCTACACATTTTTCTAGGGGGAAGTCCTAAATTTGCCACCCTTTCACTATGCAACTATGGATTTTGATGATACTTTTATGTTGTGAACTTTATTGAATATGTTTCCACTTCATTGATTTTCCTTTTGATCTGACTGTTATATTTTTTCTAAAATACTGTGTTTTGGTTTAACACATGTTAAATATTTTGTATTGAATTAATTTAATTGTTTGAAGATTCAGTTAAGACTTTGGAATAAATAAAGAAGCCTACTAATCTGTTTGTGAAATAATTATTTTATCATTTCTGGTAATTATTTCAAGATTCAAAACATTTTGGCGACCGTGACAGGACCTTTTCTTTAATTTAAGACATCTGGGTTATTTAATAGTTATAATAATATGGAAAGCCTAGAAAATATGAAAAAGAAAAGATCACAGATTAGAAGGCTATTCACCAAGGTTTATAATGAACTGGAAGAAGCATTTAATAATGAAGACCTGTCAATGAATGATAAAGAAACTCAAATAAAAGTAAACTTTTCTCAAATTGAAGACAAAATAACAGCATTAATGGCAATGGATGGAAAAATCTCTGATGAAATGCTGATGAAAGATGCTTCTGATGCTGATCTGGACAATGAACTGGACACACAAGAAGAATACAAGAAGAAATGGTACCTGATGAAGGCTAAGTATGAAATGTTTCTTAAAACACCTACCAACAATGGTGAGTCAAACATTATTTACAAACCAAACCGTAACTTTCATTTGCCTAAATTGCAATTACCTTCATTTGATGGGGATATTAGGAATTGGATTGGGTTTTGGGGTCAGTACAAAAATATTCATGAAGATAGTGAAATTAAACCTGAAGACAAATTTCAATATTTAATTCAATCCTTGAAACCTGGTTCATCAGCTAGGGAATTAATAGATTCTTTTCCTCCTTCTGGTGAAAATTACATCAAGGCTATTGAACAATTGAAATCCAGGTTTGCACGTGATGAACTTTTGATTGAAGTTTATGTAAGAGAATTACTAAATTTAGTTTTGAAACAAGCCAACAAACAAAGTATCATGCCACTTTCAACCCTTTCTGATAAACTTGAGACTCAACTGCGTGCCCTAGAAACACTCGGGGTCACATCAGATAAGTATGCTGCCATGTTATACCCACTGGTTGAATCTGCTCTACCAACTGATACTCTCAGAGCATGGGAGCGGTACAGAACAACAAACAAAATAGGCTTAGGTGAATTTAAAGGTAGCGATCAGTCATCTAATTCAAATTATTTACAGCTATTGTTGAATTTTGTACGTTCCGAGGTCGAAAGCGAAGAACGTATAGCTCTTGCTCGGAACAGCTTTGCAGTCGACAGAGACATTACACCAAGTGACCGGCCACAGAAGAGATACCATCACCAACGTCCTGGTATGAAAAGTGAGTTTGAGAAAGGACTACTTTTACCTACAGCATCTACAATAGTTGCTACAGACAGCTCTTCAGTGGTGAGTAAGCCTACATGCTTATTTTGTAATAAAGGAAATCACAACACTCAAGACTGTTCTGGGTTACAAAAGCTTACTTTAAAAGATAAGAGAGAGTTTATGACAAAAAAGGGAGCTTGTTTCTCATGTTTAAAGTTAGGTCACAGCAGTAATAAATGTAAAGTTTTTGTATCCTGTGCTATCTGTAAAAGGAAACACTACTGCTTAATGTGTCCTAGTTTAGAGAAAATGATGCACAGTAATACTCATGATTATGACAAATCAAATGTCATTGAAAGTGTTCAAATTAATGACAAATCTGAGTCCTTGATTGCAAATCAGAATAAGGAAACCTTATTACAAACTCTTCTAGTAAAAGTAATAGGACCTGACCAGCAATCTTTACTAGTAAGAGCATTGTTGGATTCTGGATCTCAAAGGTCTTATATCTCTAAGGACTGTGTAGAGAAACTTAAATTAATAGAATCTGGTGAGGAATTAATAGTTCATGGTTTGTTTGGAGGTATTAAAACTAAAGAGACTCCACATAATCTTTACCAAGTAGAGTTACGTGACACAAAGGGTAAATTTGGCATTTCAGTTAATGTGCTTGATCAAGACAAGATTTGCAATTACATACCCAGATTAGATACAAAAAGGTATTTTCCCATTTTAAAGAAGAAGAATATATACCTTTCAGATATTGGACAAGATGCAGCAGAAGAAATAGAGTTACTACTAGGAGCTGATATCTTGGGCCAACTGCTCACAGGTAAAATTGAACAGCTAGATCACACTCTGGTTGCTGTTCAGACTGTGTTAGGATGGACAGTAATGGGACAATGTGGAAAAAGTTACCAGTCACTTATTAGTATTAGTTGCTTTGCTAAAATGGACATTTCAGATCTATGGCGTTTAGATGTTTTGGGCATCACTGATCCATCAGGTAGTAAAACAAAGGAGGCGAATGCATCAGATGTTTTGAAGCATTTTAACAAAACTATTGTAGTAAATAGTGAAAATAGGTACGAGGTGACTCTTCCATGGATTGAAGGCCATCCGGAGCTTATGGACAACAAAGTTACAGCCGAGAAGCGACTACATGCAGTGACCAAGAAGTTGATTAAGTTAGAAAAGTTCAATGAGTATGATCAGGTATTTTCAGAGTGGTTAAATTCAAACATTATTGAAAGGGTTGTTGAGTCCTCTGTAACTGATAGACCTGTACACTACTTACCTCATCACGCTGTGGTCAAAGAATCCAGTTTGACTACTAAGGTTCGACCAGTCTTTGATGCTTCTGCTGTCGATAGTAGGGGGAATTCTCTTAACTCTTGTTTGGAAAAGGGACCTAATTTAATAGAACTAATTCCAGCTCTCCTAATGAAGTTTAGAAAACACCCAATAGGCGTTATTTCAGATATTAAGAAAGCTTTCTTGCAAGTTAGTTTAACAGAAAGTGACAGAGACGCTTTAAGATTTTTGTGGTGGAAGGACTATGATTCTAGAGAAATATCTGAGTTTCGACACTGTAGGGTGGTATTTGGAGTTTCTTCTAGCCCATTTTTGTTGAGTGCTACTTTAGCTCATCACCTGGAGAACTCTCCTGAAACTATGAAAGATACGGCAAATAAATTGAAAGAGTCTTTCTATGTTGATAACTGTGTAACCAGTGTAGAGAGTGAATATGAACTTCATCGATTTGTAGAAGAATCTCAGCTTCTTTTGTCAAAAGCCAAGTTTGAGCTTCATAGTTGGGCAAGTAATGTTTTGCTGCCAGAAGAAATATACAAGTCTGAAGAAAAGAATATGTATCTCTCAGACAACTCGGTTCCTGTCTTAGGATTAATGTGGGATGTAAAATCAGACGAGCTTTACTGTAATGTGAATTCTGTAAGCATTTTTGATAAACCAATCACAAAAAGAAGTTTATTGTCGATATCTCATCGTATATTTGATCCGATAGGATTCACTTGTCCATTTACTTTGATCCCCAAGATGTTACTGCAACAGGTTTGGAAGCTAAAACTGAGTTGGGATGATGAACTACCATATGATATCTTACAACAGTTTGATAAGTGGATAAAAGACTTGCACTATTTGTCAAGTTGTAGGATTCCTTGAAGGTTTAGTGATTGTGTAGGTCCATCATTGTACATAAGTCTCCATACATTCTGTGACGCGAGTAAAATGTCATATGCAGCATGTATCTTTATAAGAGTTGAAGTAGGTGAACATGTCACAATCCAACTTGTTGAGGCCAAATCCAGATTGGCACCTGCAAAATCCCTGACTATTCCACGTTTAGAATTAACAGCAGCACTGATAGCGTCAAGATTGTTCGTTTCTGTAAAGTCAACCCTGAATATTCCTAATTGCAAATACTATTTTTGGACTGATTCAATGGTTAGCCTGACATGGATTAAGACAAAAGGAAACTGGAGTACTTTTGTGGGAAACAGGTGCAATGAAATATCTCTTAATACCAATGTTGAAGACTGGCGTCATATCCCTGGTGCTTACAATGCAGCAGACATTCCCTCAAGAGGCTGCAGTGGAAAATCCTTGGCAGAAAATAAATGGTGGTTAGGTCCTGAATGGCTAAAGCGTTCAAAAGACATGTGGCCACGTAGTGAAGCTATAGCAACAGCAGATGAAGTAGATCAAGAAAGGCGAAAAACTGTTGTTTCATCTGTTTCAGTTAAAGATCCTAAGTTCACTGATCAGTTGAATTATTTTGATCGATTCACAAAGAACGTCAGGGTAATTGGTTGGATATTCCGTTTCTATAACAATTTAAAAGGAAGCAAGACTTCTGGTGAACTAAATGGATCAGAAATAGAACATGCGGAAACAAAATTACTGTGGTGTATACAAAAGGAATCGTCTCAAGAGTTAACATCAAGAAACAAAATGCAGACTTTTACTGATGAAAATGATTTGTTAAGAGTGAAATCAAAATTGACTTTAATGAACGATGACGAATATTTTAAGTTTCCAATATTGTTGCCCTCAAACCATGAGATGACGAAGAAGCTTATAGCAGAAAAGCACCGTCTACATCTTCATGCTGGGATCAATACTTTGGTGTCAATTTTACGTCAAACATTTTGGATTTTGAGGTGTCGGAACTCTGTCAAAAAGATAATATCAAGATGTGTCATATGTAAGCGACACAAAGGAAAACCTCTTCAGTGTCCACCCCCTCCCTTGCCACTTGAAAGAATAAGTGATTCAAAAGTTTTTGAGACAACGGGTGTAGACATTGCCGGGCCATTGTTCTTAAAAGAAGGTATAAAAGCATACATAGTTCTGTTCACATGTGCTGTGTATAGGGCGATCCACCTCGAACTTACAACTTCTCTGTCTACAGAAGCTTTCATTTCTGCTCTTCGTCGGTTTGTAGCGAGAAGAGGTCGTGTTGTCACAATTTATTCAGATAACGGGAGGAACTTTGTTGGAACAAGTAATCTTCTCAGACGGATCAACTGGGATGAAATTGAAAAGTTTTCATCTGTCCAGAGGATTAAATGGAAGTTCAACCCTCCTTCAGCGGCATGGTGGGGCGGATGGTGGGAGCGACTTATTGGAGTGGTAAAGGAAATTTTACGACGAAACTTGGGAAATTCATCAGTCACGCAGGAAGAACTCTCAACAATTTTGTGTGATTGTGAAGCAACTGTAAATTCAAGACCTTTGACTTATCTTTCGAATGATGATGACTGTTTACAACCATTAACTCCAGCCCTATTCTTACAACCAACATCAACAGCTGAATTACCAGATTTGGATGAAATTGAGTGTCTAAGTTTAAATAAAAGAGTGCGTTATATAAACAAATTAAGAAGATCACTAAGAGACAGGTTTAAGAAAGAGTATTTGGCTACACTCATTCACAATGGAAAAAACAAGAAAAGTAGAGAACCCATTATTGGAGAAGTTGTATTGATAGGAGATGATAACACAAAACGAATAAGATGGCCTTTGGGGTTGGTACAAGATGTATATCCAGGAAGAGATGGATTCTCCAGAGTCGCAAGACTAAAAACTGGAAATGGTATTTTGACAAGACCACTACAAAGACTTTTTCCATTAGAAATCACAGCTTGTGAAAAAGAGTGTTTGAAAGAAAATAAACCACTTGAAGAAGAAGATGTTATAGTTCAAAACGAAGGCTTTGATTTCGCTAAGAAGAAAACCAGATGTGGAAGAGAAGTCAAAGTGCCCGAGCGATTTTACTGATTTAAAATTGCACATGTTTGGTTAGCAATTTTAAATGGGGGGAGGATGTTGTGAACTTTATTGAATATGTTTCCACTTCATTGATTTTCCTTTTGATCTGACTGTTATATTTTTTCTAAAATACTGTGTTTTGGTTTAACACATGTTAAATATTTTGTATTGAATTAATTTAATTGTTTGAAGATTCAGTTAAGACTTTGGAATAAATAAAGAAGCCTACTAATCTGTTTGTGAAATAATTATTTTATCATTTCTGGTAATTATTTCAAGATTCAAAACATTTTATTTAAGTTATTAAATCTCAATACATGAAGTTCCTCAATAATTAAAATAGATTTTTTCTTGATTTTTAGCTGCAAACATCTTGATTATGTCATAAAATTAAATTACACCTTACATATTTTAATTAAGATGATACTTGCTGAGTCTTTGATCGTCTTGTCTAATGTTCAGTGGCGGATCCAGTCAGGAGTCGAGGGGGGAAAAGAATTGCCTGCGATCGCGGCAAAATCGTTAACACCTCCCACTCACTATTACGGGAAATCGTTATTGTTACACTCTACAGTAGGAAGGGGTAAATTAGTGGGAAACAATGCTGTAATTAGTTAGTTTCAGCCTCCCATTTAAAATCATTATCCAAGTCCAAAGTTTCCCACTAATTTATTTTCAACTAGGGCCAGCAGCATGTGTCTAAGGAGGACAAGAAAGAAGTGGAGGACTCTTAGAGAGTTTGAAGATGGGGCTTGAAAATACCAGCTTTTTATTAATTTAAATAGCAATTTTTTATTATCTTTCCATGTAAAAAAAAATCATTTAAGGAAGATAAGTTTTCTTTAAGTCCAATATGGTGGCCAGTGAGTTGCTGTTAAAAACACAGTTCCAGTTGAACACACACTAAGATAGTAAGTGTGTTTAAGTATTGTGCCGATTTTAAATTCAAAGATTTAAAATCCGCGCCAGGCAATGGACAAGTCAGTCCAACATGACGTAACGCGGAGGAATACTACACTCGAACCGTGTCGCGTGCAAACGTCTCGTCGTCACTCGTGGCTCAGTAATCGCGTAGTCAACATGTGAAGTCGCGTTTTGTCGCTGGTGTAGGACGAATTTATTAATATCTTAATTCGTAGCTCGGAAATTAGCGTTCGGGCGGAAATTGTACGTGCATCAAACGATCGCAATTGTCAAAATTTCGCCGAATTGCATTTGGGGGTGTGTTTTATTAGTATTAAGTCGAGACAGTTGAGATGCCGGATTGATTGTTCGCGTTTGTGATGAAAATTCGTACATGCATCATATCGATAGCAAATGTCAGTTTCTAGCGAATAGCGGGTCGTCGTGAAGGTATTTTCAATTGAATCATTAAACGCCAGCTCGAAAAAACAAGAATTAATAAGTCCTACACCAGAAAAAACCGTGTCGTGATGTTCCGCTCGGTCAGACAAAAAGTCACAAATTACCACGAGTCAGTTTTTAAATGTTCGGTACGCGTGAATCTTCGTCGGAATGAATGTGTATGTGTCGACATGTGTACGTAAGTAAATGTTTGTGTTATTTGTGTTTTAGTATTAAAATAGTCTTGCCAATCTGCCATTTTTTCACATGTTCCACTAGCTTTACAAGTCAGAAATCATGTCAGAGCTGGTCTGAAAATTTCATGTTTCATTTGGTATACCTTGAGCACATGGTCGCAATTCAGGATGAAAAATGTTTAATTGAATTTTATCACGTTATGCAAAGAATTTAAGTTACATTAGTAATTATAGTCAATTGAAAATTATTTATTAAATCTATCTATTCTTATCTATTATTTTTAAGAACAATGATTGTCTGTGATATTATTATTTTGTGTTCTATGCAAAGGTCAAATTCTATCATCATCAGTATTATTATTTATAACGTTTTGTATCTCATATAAGGTAATAATTTTGAATAGAGTGTTACATTTTTAAATAGTGAGAGTTTGATTGTGTAACGTAAATGGGGGTAACAGAGTGCTCGGTCGAAGGCTAGGGTTGACAAAAGGTCATGAGGATAGACTCCCATTAAATTCATAAACATTAAATACTTAATAAAAATTATCAATTAATCGACTCAGTAGTCGATTGGCCCCGTTGCATTGATCAGCAAGGAGTGATGTAGATCACAAACTACATAATAGTCCCTGTTTGATTAAATTGTAAACTGGCCAGTTTGATATATACGAACATCCTTGGGGAGTCTGGTGGCCTAAACTAAATAAATAAAATCGTCAAGGCTAGGTTTTCCCGAGACTCTGCAGTGTTAAAATGTGGCAAATCACCAAACAACTACAATCAATTATCTCACTCTCTCTTTCAAATATTAATAAATTGTGCATAAAGTTTATTACATTGTTTATATTCAATATTTGTATCACAGCTCGTAATTCTGATTCATTATACAGTATTTTTACAAATCATCATCTTATCATTATCCTGTGTTTTATATTATATTATTAATATTATACTGGTAAATTTAAGAGTATTGGTTTAACTGAAGAAGTATACAAAGTATACACAATGAGTGTTGATGATCACATTTTTTAATATCAAGTTGGTGAATTCATGAATAATCGGCTTAACCGAAATCCAGTGTATACAAACATCTTGAAGTCATACTTTGATAAATAGTTTCTGAACAAACAGTTTCATAAATATTTTCAATCAATATTTTAATATGTTATTATTTGCAGTATTACAGTTTTACAAAGAAAACAATTCACATCACAATCTTTCATCTGAACTGACATTTCAATTCATAGAGTGTTCAAATAAACACATCCATTAGTTTTAAGAAGTGTTAGAATTAAGCTGAAGAAGGTGTGAAGGAGGACAACATATCAGACCTCTCACGGTCCATAAATCGGACTTCTGGGATGTTTAATTACAGGGCCCACACTTAACATCTTTAACTCCACTGCGCAGCTCTGTGATTGTAATGTCCTCAGTAGTTCAATTAAAATTAAATTAAATTCATTAAAACCCCACCAGGGGCCTATTTCATAATAAACTACAAGTTACAAGTTACAACTTGTAACTTGTAATTTCCATTAGATTTGCATTGGGCGATCAGCTGATTTACTAATAATATTAGTTTGTACTTTATTATGAAATGGGCCCCAGGGGGCAACTTTTTGTTATACTCACACCTGTATGAAATACCTAAATTGTATTACATAAAGGTGTGAGGTGATTTTGCTTGATGGAATGATCAATTAAGTAAAGAGTATATTTTGAATATAAGTGAAGAATTTCTTTTTTTTCTTTACAGTATTTATAAGGTGAGTACCAGTAGGCTAAGTATATGGCTATCTAGTGTACATTTAAAAAGGAATGCAAGTATATTTTTGTTTACGGGCCAGTTATAAATAGACAACAGCATACTTATGACAAGATTTATTTTTAAGTGATCACAACAAAAATCCACATAGTAAAAAAAGAAAAGATTAAAACTAAAACACATTTGAGTTAATACGAAATATACAAACTGTCTCGGCAACAGTTAATTGATCTAGTCTTCAATGATTGGACAAAAGAGAAAAACTTGAAGTTAGTTTCACGTTACAGAACAACACTACGGACCCTGTAGCCACCGATCTCTATTGTGCTAGACTGTTACAATCCGAACAAATCACTTTAATAATTAGTGTTATTATACCCTTATTTTAGAAATGAATTACATTCAAAAAGAGCTGTACTTAAAACCTAGATTGTTGCTGCTGCTGTTTGAATATCCACCACCTCGGAATTTGCTCCCCATCCCTGCAACAAACAGCACAAAATTTCAAAGACAATTAAACTGTGAAGTTTCACAAAGAGTATAAATCAAAGATTTTTGGAGTACTTTTTTTACCAGAAACATAAAGTGATTTTTAAAATAGAGTCATGGAATGATTGTTGGTTATAAGGGGGGAAGTCAAGTAGTTTTATCTTTTCTGATAAGTTTAACAAGCTACCTTTTACGTCTTACCACACACATACTCTTCCGCCAGCTTAATCAAATGGGGTTTCATACTGTACTGTAACGAGTTTTTACCGGACACCAAACAGCTGATTATACTGTATTTGGCAATGAGTGGTTATAAACAAAAACATAACTTCTTGTAGAGGTTATGACTAGTAATTGTTAGTCCTTTAGTCAGTGGTAATATATACGCATTTGTACAGATTTAGTAGTATGGTGTAAAATATCGTACGTCACTCTTCCAAAATGTGTTTACCGGACTCGTATGGTAATCCTGTACTCGACTTTGTCTCACACTACTCCAGTAAACACCTATTTTCAGGACTAGTAACGTAATATAACTATTACGCCACACTACACTGTTTTAATGAACTTCCCACGCAAGGATTTAATCAAGAAAACAGCTGTTGGCACCAGCTTAATCAAATGAGGTTGCATTACATACTACTGTACTGTAATGAGTTTTTATCTGACACCAACCAGCCGATTATATTTAACCCCTTCGCTTACAACGACGGCGATCCGCCGTCGCGCTCCCGTTAGCCATTGTGTGAAGCGACGGCGAATCGCCGTCCGCTATTAAAACCTGTTTGTGCCGAGTTAGTTCCCCAGAAATCCAATAGATCGCATATGCTTCTTGTTCTATGATTTCCAGGCTTTCTTTTGGTTATATTTTCGTCATCTCAGTCCAGTCCAATCGGCAAAAAAACTGAAGTTGAAATGGTGCAACTTAGCAGCTGACGACGTCTACTCTGGTTTCACAGCTGATACGTTGTTGTGTTTACTTCGACGATGTAAACATTGTGTTAGAGCCTTGTTTTACTTTATTATTTTATTGAAAAGTGTAGTTATCTTATAAAATAAGTTATAGAATTTACTTAGTGTAAGTTTTTATCAGTATTTTACTTTTTCGTCGTTATAATGACTGAGTTATTAGGCCTATCATGTCGTGTTTCACTTCGTCGTGATAAAGATTGAGTTACAGTATCTTGTTTTACTATATTATTCAATTGAAAAGCTTTTGTATAATACGATGAGTCTTCAAAATAACTTGGTATTTGTGGATGAATGTGGAAAAGAGTTAGATGAAAGTGACATCATAAAACTTATAGGGGATTGTGACAGTGACAGTGATTGTGACTTGTTTGAGGAGAGTGGTTGGAGTGATGATGATGATTTGGAAGGGAGCAGAATTCAAGTGAGTAATAAGTCTAATACGCCTATTGATTATGAGACCACAGTTTCCCCAGAACATAATACTAATTGTGTTAGGCCTAGGCCATTAGAAAGTGACCAGTTGTTGCTTGAACAGCCTTCTTGCAGCTATGCTAGGCCTATGACCCCTCCAGATGCCCTTACTGTCCAATATAATTCAGATTTGTCTAGTAGGCCTGAAATATTTGATCAGCATGTATCTTCTCCATCACGTGATGAAGAATTGCCTAAATCAGTCCAGTTTCTTGATCGGTTATACCGCGGTAGTATGAGCGCGCCTTCTCTCTCGCCTACACCGAGTGAGGAAGCTGACGACCCTGGTTTCCCTGACTCTAGGCCTATAAATGATATAGATAGTGGCAGGCATAGGCCTATGACCCCTCCAAATGTCCAATCTGATTTAGATTTGCCTATTAGGCCTGAATTATTTGACCAGCTTGCATCTTCAATCGTGCCTGCCCTCTCACCTACACCGAGTGAGGAAGCTGACGACCCTAGCTTTCCTGACCCTAGGCCTAAAAGTAAACCTGTTAGGGGCAGGTCTAGAGGAAGAGGTAGGCCTATAGGAAAAAAAGCTATTTCACAACCATCTAAGCCTACTAAAAGGTCCAAAACTCAAACTAGTAATGATACAGCTCCACCAAAAAAGAAGAAAAAGGAGGGTTGGCAGTGGACCAGTACCATAGAAAGTAATATAATAAATAAAATCCCTTTTACTGGTTGTCCTGGTGTTAGAGCAAGTTTGGCTAGAAGTTTAGGCTCAGCTCCCTCTGAATTAGATGTTTTCAATGCGTTTCTTGATAATGACTTTTGGCAACATGTTGCAACAGAGACTAATAATTATGCCAAAGAAACAATTAAGAAAAAGAACGAAGCAGGCGGGGTAGGAAAAACTATATACTCAGAATGGTTTGACACAACTGCAGATGAGATGGCTTGTTTTTATACACTGTGTGTCCTTATGTCGCTTGTAAAAAAAAGAACCATACAATCATACTGGTCGCCTAATGCTGTAACTGAGACCCCTTTTTTTTGTAAAGTGATGCCATTCCGCCGTTTTTTGCTACTGTCCACATTTTTCCACCTTACAGACAATAATAGGAAACCTGTGAATGATAAACTGTGGAAGTTAAGGTACGTTATTGAGTACATGAACAGGAAGTTTTCCCATCTGTACATACCTGATGAAAACATAGCTGTCGATGAGAGTCTTATGAAGTTCCGAGGGAGGTTGGGCTATGTTCAATTTAATCCCAAGAAGAGAGCCAGATTTGGCATAAAGTTTTACAAGTGTTGTGAATCTGGAAGTGGTTATTGTTCTAAATTTAAGATCTATACTGGAGCTGAAGTCAAAGAAAATGTACCGGTTGAAGAAGGAAGTGGGGATTCTACACAGGAGGAAAAGCTGTTAACGAGTGAGGCGATAGTCGTTGAAATGACAAAAGATTTGGCAGGAAAAGGACATACTCTGACAATTGATAATTGGTACTCCTCACCTCTTCTCTTCTATAGACTTAAGCAAATAGGTTTCAATGTAATTGGAACAGCTAACTGGTGGAGATCAAACATGCCAGAGAGCTTCAAAGAGGGTAAACTTAAGTTGGGCGACTACGAGACAGCCTATAGCCACGATATGTTAGCAGTAAGGTGGCAGGACAAGAAGCAAGTTTGCATTTTGTCTACCTTTCATCAAAAAGCTGACAAAAGATCAACTGGCAAGAAAGACAGAGTTACCCAAGAAATTATAACAAAGCCAGAACCAGTGATCTACTATAATCGTTCAATGGGTGGAATTGACCGCGAGGATCAGCAATTAGCGTCGTTTCCTAGTATGAGGAGGTATGCTAAGGGATACAAGAAGATCTTCTTTTACATAATGGACATTGGCCTTTTTAACTCTTATGTAGTGTTCAAAAAATTAACCAGAAAAAAATTGGGGTTCAGTGAGTTCAAGGAGAGGTTTGTCAAGCAAATGTTTGAGTCGCGACAACTGCCACCGTACAATCGAAGAGGACGATCATCCAACTCAGAAACACCTCTGAGGCTCCAGGCAGCAACTTGGGGACATTTTCCTAGGCCTATTCCTCCAAATGAAGTCAAACAAACACCTTCAAGAAGATGTAAGGTGTGTAGTGCCCAGGGAAAGCGCAGTGACAGCCGATGGGAGTGTGAGCTCTGCCTTGTCGCACTTCACATGCCAGAGTGTTTCAAGGCATACCACACCAAAATGAACTTTGCTTGACATTTGGTGAGTTTTTATAAGTGTCATACAGTATTATAGACTAGTTCCAAAACATATATGAGCCCTATGTAGCTAAAAATTACCAATAAAAAAGTTTTTTTTAATTTTTTTATTTTTTTATTTTATTTTTATATGGTATAATAAAAAATTATAGTTATATTTTTTTGGGAAATATTTATATATTTTGAATCTACATTTAATTTTGAATAAGAAAATAATAATATCTTGCATATAAATAGTAAATGTTGCCTGAAAAAAAATTAAATCAGAAATGAATGAAACTAGCCACAACAAATTCGTTTGTTTTGGCCTAGGCGGGTAAAAAAAAAAATCATAAGTGAATGGGTTAAAAACATAACCATGAGTAGTGATTGTCCTTTAGTTGGTGGGGATAAAAGGGGATTTGTACAGAGATTCGTTATTGTTCAGTTAGCTTAGAGTAGTATCGCGTAAAATATTGTACGTCACTCATACAAAATGTGTTACCGGACTCGTATCGTAATCCTGCACTCAACTTCGTATCCCACGGGGACGACCACACTCGTCTGGTTAACACCTATTTTAAAGGACTAGTAACATAATGTACTATTACAAATCTTGATTTAGGCTACTTGTAAATGTATATTGTCTCACCATATCCGCCACCGCCTGGGGTGGAGTTGAGGAAGAGTTCGATGTAGCGATGTTGCATGTGACTCTTGTCTTTGGACATGGCTCGCAGTGCGTCGTCGTGAGATGCAAATTCTACATCCGCCTCTCCACTTGGCCGCCCGTTGTCATCGTACACTATGCGAATGTTCACTGGATTTACCGGTCTGAAGAACTGCAACCAAACACGATAAATATTTTGGTCGGGTTATGTTTCTAGTATGGAAACTTGTTTGTACAAGATAAAACACCAGACATACTTATATTCCAAATATTTTACACCCTCCGAATATAATTTTATTCAGATGAATTATAACTTCAACACAAAGTATAAAGTTGATAGTGTATTTTAGCAATTAATAGTTGAAATATGTAGAAACGAAGAAGGAATAGTAGCTGGCTTACCATTACCTTAGAGGAAGTATAGGTAGGCCAACACAGATAAGACATAAAACACACAATATCTCGTCCCTTTGGGAACTTTAAGTGTAGGTACGACATGAAGAGTTATAGCTGTAATGTAAACTACACAGGGGAGCGAGCTGGTGTAGTGGTTAGAGCGCGGGACTTCAGTCCCTGAGGTCCCGGGTTCGATCCCCGCCAATTCACCAATGGATTTTATCTAAGTGATAATGCCGCAACCCCTAGGTCTAGTCTTAAGTAATGTGAAAAACAATCCTAGGCTTGTGCCTAGCATCCTAGGACAAAAAAAAATGTTAACTATACAGTGTTGCCACTTTTTACTAGTTCCCTAACAACCAAGTATAAAAAAAAATATTTATATACACCTAACATACAGAGTGTCCCATAGAGCGGTTGCTATTTTTAAATTAATTTACCAGATGTCTATTGTGTGTAAAAAAATACCCACAAGCCTCATTTGATTTTGATCAGGACAAAATGGCAGAATAACAAAATAAGCAAATGAACCAAATTAATTTCATTTATAATTTGCCACTGTCCTACATCTTCAAATACTAAAAATTTTATTAATATGAGGAACAATGTAAAACAAAATCAAGGATTAACTTAAAATTGGCATGTAAAATCACTTTACTAAAAACACACTACAGTATTATTTTATATATGACATTTTGTTCTTATTGGTCGGAATCAAGTGGGACTCTAGGATTTTTTTTATACGCTTGTTGCAGCTGTGGAATTTCAAGTCTGTAGTATTTTCAATGTGTCTGGATTCAAAAATAGCAATCTCTTCCTGGAACACCATATGAACAGGCCTGTTTTGCATTTAGGTAGCTCGGTAGCTGCCCTAGATAGGTTGAGGTTGGAAGAGCTCTGGAGTTGGTTACACGCTGGACTAGTTCACATCTTCCTAACATGGAAGGGTTGCAATAATCCTTTGATTTTTTGCCTTTTGTGGTGAAGCAGCTACCAAAAGCTGTGTTTGTTGGCATATGAATGGCAACTGATTTTCTTTTCCTGTTTCAACATACTGTCGTCGTCGAATTATCCTCTCCCTTCAGGTGTTTTTGTCATGCCAAATTGGGCATGGGCATTGTTGCCATCTAGTCAATACTCAATAGCCTATAATGGCTATTACGGACCTTTTCCGTTAATTCACTACCACTTGTGGAATGTGGTTAGGTTAGGTCAAGTTTTTCCAACTCTGACCTGGTACCGGTAGTGAATAAACAGAAAATGTCCGATATTTTGATTCAAAAATTGGCCATGACTTGAACATGGGGGTGGAATGTCTAGGTTCTACTTACATCTGCAATGTCAGTCTGTTGTGCTCGGAAGGGTAGTCCTCGCATGTGTATACTGTGTTGTCCACTGTTGTTCCAACCCCCTGAGTTGTTCATGCCTCCACCATAAGGTCCACCCTTTGGTCCTCCACGACTCTGCATTCCCCTCGGCCCATTGCCATTACTCCATGGCCCATTGCCTTCCCATCCACCATCATCAAAGTCACCATAGCCTGTGATGAGAATTTCAAATAAACTTTTTGTAATTTAACCAGTTTTCTTCAAACAAAAGAAAAATATGTTTTTTTTGTTTGTTTGTAACACTGACTTCTACTCAATTCATATTTTAAGTTTGGCTTTGATTGGAATGTTTTATTTTAGTGATATTTACATTGTTGGATTTATGTTTATGATATCTTCTGTGCATACAAGAAACTGGATATGATTTAGCAGTGTTTGTTTTGATTTATGCTGGGTTTGTTAGACTCAATTGTGATTATATCCTTAACTATACTCTCTATGTTATTTAGATGTTAAAATTTTGGGAAATGTTATTCAAATTGCATATTCTTTTCTCTACAACAGGACGGGATTACACAGAACAAAAGCATTTGAAAAAAATCCAAGAGGAAAAGAAATTTTGTTAAGAAAACTAACTAACCTACATTAGAAAATTAAAGTTTATATGCTGATACTGTAGATAGCCTATACAATAAAAATTCACATAACATAACACTGCTATTTGGCAAATTATTTTTTCTTTCTATTTACCCACTGTATAAGTCCTATTTTATAAGGAAATAATTGTGGTTTTGTGACATTTTATTGAAAATTTGTTAGACTCTTGAATTCCTTGGGTAAGCTAGATAAACACAATCCATTTAAAAAAAGAAACTACTAAAGACCATAAGTCCTATAATTGGATACTATAATTTATGTACTTTATTCACTGGGATAGTTAGTTGTCAATATGTCAAACCTTTGAAGTTTCTGGAAGGCCTGGACATGGGGCCCATGTTGCCTCCGTAGCGGTTTATGCCACCAAATCTGTCACTGCGGTCGTAAGGAGCCGGACGTTGGTTGAAGCCTCCAGGAACCATCGGACGCATCTTTGGTCCAGCAGACCTGATCTCTGCTAGACTGCTCCGGAATATCTCAATGTACCTGTCACATTCCAGATCGGTCAAAGTCTAACACCATTATAGATTGGTAATTGTTTTCGGTAGATAATTACTTCGCTTAATATATATTTTGTCATATTAAAAAAATGGCCAACTTTTAGTACAACCAGTAACGTATGGTATTTGTACGCAACAAAATATGTAACTTATTTCTCCATTGTAGACTTAAAGAACTTAGAGAACATCACCAATACATGTCTAACATTGTTAATGTTTGTTATAGATTTAATAATGTGTCACCTTGAGACTACACTCATAGTAATTCACTAACTATTAAAAAAATATGAAATTGTAACTGAATGTAGAGGTAAAGTAGAACCCTTCGTATCTGTTGTGAACGGGACGATGTGGTACAAAAAGACGAGAGAATCAGAGGAGCAAAAAAAGGGTTGGATGGGCATTGAATCAAGGTTGGAAAACGCATAATACTTAAATATTTTGAGGAGTCCGTTACCCAAGAATGAATACAAGGTATTCTACTGCAAGGAGCCATGAACAAACACAATTAGTACAATATAATTTAAAAGAAAGCATCTTAAAATTAAAATATATAAATCGCTCTTCAATTTTGTACAGTCATTACTGAAGCAGATGTAGTTTTTTAATGCACTCGTATAACTAATTTCTAACAAACTAGCTATTTTTTTAATATAAAGGATTTTAAATTTGATTATACAGACTCTCCATTTAGAAATCTAAGCGTTTTCAGATTATGACAAATTAGGTTCTCATTTACAAGCCTACCTGTTACGTGAAATCAAGCTCTATGAGCCGATTTATGTTATATTTCAAAATTAAGTAATAAAACCAGTAAATAAGCATAAAGAATTGTCATTTGTTAACTCTTTTGTTGATACTTTTAAAGTTTACAAAGTTTCATTATCTTTTGGTGATTTAACACAAGAAAGATAATACATTAAGATGAAAACTTAACAAGTGAATAATGTAGAGCACTAAGGTTAGATTTAGTTTGAAGCCAGCAAAAGTGTATCTAGAATAAAGTTTTATTTGACAACAAATACATAGAGGTTACAAGAAGTGGAATTTTGGGTTTGGGCTAAGTATTCATTATTAGGCTCCAGGTAATTTATGGGCAAAGTTAAAAATTTATAAATTAGTTTTTGTGTACTTAATTTGGATCCCAAAATATCAAGTACTAAATCCTGATACAATTAACAAAAGATTGGGATATGTCAATTCTTGGTACCAAAAATCTTTTGGACATTAGTATTGAAAATTGCTTGTCCAGAGTGGATGACCAGGCTATTGGGGATTATTGAAATTTTTTATTAATTACAAAATTCACTTACATTATAGACTTTTTCAAGCCATAAAAATTCACTTAAAATCTATTTAATCAGTTTGGCTGGAAAACCCCGCCGGTATTGGCTAAAAATGCAGGCATATTTAGTACCTAGTTACCAATTGGCTGATAATATTAATTATCATGAAGCCCGATTTTGGTTTTTTGAATAATTTTAATTGGCGACATTGCTGATCTAAAGGTGTTTGGAACATTTGGACCAATGTAAAGCGGTTTTCTCGATTCTTACATTATTATTTTTCAATGTCAAAATGAACACTAAAACAAATTACTCGCTTACCTGGTTTTGCTTTACTTTACCAGTTTACCTTATTATTTCAAGCTAAGTAGAGAAAAAATTTCTGTAAGTGTAACTAAAATGTTTCCATTGTACAAAAAAAACCTTGTAAAATGTGCTATATTCACATATCACAAGGTGTACATTCTGAGCAAATTGTGTTCAAAAAATATTTACTGCCACCCTAAAAATTTCAAATGAAATTTGGAAAAAACACAATGCTTTGACACAATATACATACCATTATACAAAACTACTAAAACAATTCCAACACGAGACGAATGAATGAAAAGTGCAGTGATGTCTCTTGGTAAGTTAAATCGTAATAATTCATGCATTAGACAACCTACCTTCAATACCTAGTAAACAGTAACTAGCCACAAGAGAGGTAAGACCCATGTCCCTCCCTCCCAGAGCCCCCACCTGTGTCCTATTTTTTCCTTGTGTTTCTGCAGACCCTTTTCTGCCACGTCTTTGTTTACAAACTGAACGTAAGCCTCCCCCGTACTCCGCCCATTGTAGTCAGTCGGAAGTATAATGCCATTGGGGACTATCTCCAACCCTACCCAACCAATCAGATGCCACATAATCAGTTCAAATCCCAACAAAAGTACAATCTCATACAAAAACAAAACACCCAGTATATATTTTCTACAGTTGACAATATTGTATTAAATCAGTTATCTAACTTTGTTACATCCAAATGGCTCCCATCAAATACAGGAAATAGGGCAGGAAGAAAACTGTTGCAAGAACTAATAACTAATGGAAATGCAAATTTCTGAAAATACAGTTTGGATTTGTATAATGTGTTTGTATGTTGTTTTTTTTTAGCTCAGTCAATACTTAAAATAACAAGGACAACAGTTCATGATCATTAGAGAGTGTTTTTTGTTTGATGAATTATTTGATTGTATATTTGTTAGTGCATTTATATTATCTATTTATTTATTACATTGCTATATTTCAGGTTTGCAAGTTGTGTAGTCTATATTCAAATTATATTTTGTCTACGTTGCGGTTTTTATTTATACACAATCTCTTGTAGGCCTATATTATGCTTGTCTTTGTAATTTGTATGTATTGGCTTCAGCCGTGGGAAAGGAATAAAGAATGAGGATTGTTTAGAGTTTGTAATGCAATTAATTGGAAAAGTGTTTTAAGTTTTTCTTTGTTTACAGCAAGCTACACTTTGGTTGCGTCATTATAGCGTTAATTAGGGCATTTTTTTATTTAATGTGATCCTTTACTTTTGTGGACAGCTTATTTCTGGAATATTTGATACAAAACAAATTTGCATAAATTCCTATATCATCACAGATATTATCTAAAAATGGACCACACTAGCAAGTTTACTTTTCGTTTTTATCAAAAGAATGGTACCAATTAGAAATCCAAAGCAATGTACCTACAGTCATTATCATTGCATTATAGATTTCCACGATAGAATAGAACCCGAATACTAAGACAGTTAACCATTGGAGCAAAAACTTCCAAATCTTGTCTTGAGAAAACAATAGTGGTGATTATTTAAATAATTAATCATAAATAATTCTTGGACACACAGAAATTGTGGTTCCTGGTTTTACATAGCCTATCTGGTGTTTTAAATAAAGGTGTTTAGTCCATTGTGTCAAAGTTGGTTAAATACACAGAAACAATTTTGGAACTTCAAGGAGTTGATGGGAGCCTTTAAAATGTTTAAAAGAAATATGTAGCCTATTGTAAATACAAACCCAACCACTTCTGTCCCCTTCCCCTGTAAAAAAGTCATTATTAGACCTGAAAAAGCAACTACTGTAACCACTTGAAATCACATGTTTTACATTATATTAATGCAGTTAAATAAGTTGTTCTAGGCCAAGGGGATGTGTGCTCTGGTTTAAAAATTAATCACCTCCCATGTTGTAGTCGTAGTAAATCACCTGTTAAATTACTAAATAAAAATATGGGGTGGAAAATGATGTAACTAACAACCATGAATGATCAAGTTTCTAAATGTCACTTTTGGTATTAAAATGTTTACCATGATGTATCAAGAATGTGATCGCCTAATACTGGAGTGAAGAGAAATTTAGAATTGGTTTCTTAGGCTCTTAAGTTAGTTTCTTGTACCGGCAGAAAAAAAACATGATTAGACCTATTTTGTTAACTTACTCTACTCCCATGGCCATCGATACACTAGGTGGTATTTGGCCTCACCAACAAGTTAACAAAATTAGGGGGGGGGGGGGGAAACAACTTGTGCATGAATTGATTAACTTTGGCAATGAAAGTGTAAAAGAAAAAAAACTTACATTGACCTGACTAAATTAGTTATCAGGTTTATTAGATTATTATATAAGGTCACCGGTCTGATCCTGAGAAAGGCGTTTAGCTTTTTGATGGTTCAAAACTGCTGTCCTTGATCATTGGGCATTTAATAAATGGTCCTAGCTAATGAAACAGCTGATCAGTAACAAAGCTTCACAAAGCATCCAACTCCGTTCTACACTTGTCTTTCACTCATATTTGGGTTAAAATACGCACGTAGGTGGTGTCCCCATCTCACATGATAATAATGATAAATAAACCCAAACTCTGATTTCCAATTTAAAGTCATATTGACATTAAAGATACAAATTCATAACACTTTAAAAGTAACAATTTGATGATATTTACAAAAGGAAAGAATAAGGTGAAGTATAGGCAATGATTTTAAAAATAATGGATTGAAGAAGCCACCCTGTGTATACCTATAATAGAAAACTTTTTATAACTAATTGATTTGTAGCCTGGCCCGATGAAATCAACTAAATGAATAATAATGTGTTAGTAGAAAATATAAACAAATAATATAGTCGTACGAGTAAAAATAATTTATACATAGTGACACTAATCCAGACAATAACACATAATCTTTGTACACAAACCCCTTTCAAAATTTGTTACAGTAATAACATTATTCAAGTCCACATCATGCAAAATTGGTTCTGTTCTTTTATGACAAATACCTGCAAAAAAGTTGGCAATTTCTTCCTTAGTGCATCCGAAAGGCAAACCTCTCAGTCGAACACAGCCATCGTCCATTGAATGCTCCATATTCAGGCCACTTCTCTTCACCACCCAGTCCATCTCGGACCTTTTGGCACGAAATACTGAAAAAAAAAAACGGTTGAGTTAAATTTATAATTGCCATGACAGAAACTCTTTATCATCTCAGTCTTAAGTTCTAGCAAGATTCTGTATTGAAAGGAAGAGGGTTTTTACAATTGATGCTAGACAGCTTTGCAATTCTTTTTATCTGGGAAACCTATCTATTTAGAAAATATGGTAATTACATTACCTTCTATATACCTATGACCCATGTGTTCTCTGTCTTTCTTACACGCCATCTCTACATCTTCTTCTGTTTCCATCTCTACGTAAGCCTCCCCACTAGGCCTACCTTCCCTGGACATGGTCATTTGAATTCCCAGCTTCCCGCCCTTGATGTTGCAGCCACCTAGCACAAAGTTTCATCACATACAAATACAGGAAGTAAATAAAAATGTGTTAAATAAAACTTGAAACATATATATTTACACTCTTACAAGTATGTCATACCTACAGAAAGTCTTAAAATGTACGTAGTTGCTCTGAAGGAATTAAAACTTTCTTGCAATTTCCACTTTTACAGAATATTTACATTTTAACTTCATAGCATTGAGTTCTTACTTTCCTTAACTATTATATATAGAACAATGACCTGCTGTTCTTAACCCAGTTGGTAACACAACACACACTTAGAAGTTGTGCCTGGGGCCCTATTTTTGAAATGGTTGACAGTTGAGTCTACCGTCAACACTCAACTCAACCAACAACAGGATTTGGTATTTTTGAAATCCAACAGTTTGGAAGTGAGTTAGGAATCACTAGTTGAGTGACTCGTTTTGAAAATGTAGGGCATACGACTGCATGAAATTCAGATGACGTCATTTTAAACCAATCACAATGCAGAGTTCTTGCGATCTTCGATTTTACCTCTTCTTACTCTAAAATCTGGATCAGCTAATCTCAATCTACCATATTTCGAGATACTGAGGTAAACTGTCAACTCCGTTCTTGAGAGAATGAGGTCATATCTTGTTTAATCTTAGTGATTGCAAAAGTACCTTATATAAACTTAAGTATTAACAATCTATATATTAATACGCAAGCAGTTTTCTTTTCACAGTCATAACTCGATAACGGCCTGACGGATTTTAACGTCAGAGGTGTCAAATTAAAGGTATTTTCACATAGATGTGCAAATACGTCTGTAATATTTCATTTCATTTCATTCATTATTTAGTATTAAGTTTTTTTTTAAATGTTAACTTCTATTCATACACCTAATAATAACTCCTCAGAAAGACTGTCCTAATATTCATTTTCCTAATTTATATAATTTCATTAATATGTTCAATTAATCATTAATAATATTCATTCCATAGCCTATATTTTTTTTTACAGCCCACAACCTAATTATTTATTAAATATGTAAGAGAATTGCAATACATCAAAATTTCTTATAATATCATTTCAAAATTAGTCCTTAAGGAATCAAAATTTAAGAAGCAGTGAAAGTGATCCCATGTGTTCAACAATGAGTGATGTGAACATTGAAATTGAGAGAGAAGGAAGCCATTGAGAAGTTGAAATTGTTAGAAGAAGGACTCAAAATTTTACCTAAATCAAATTCATTCATCAAGAAGACCAGTTTCAAGTTATATCACAGTTTTTTTTAGCCAACTCAATCATTATCTTCAAAATTATCTCAAAAATTATCATTAAAATAATCTTAAATGAATATTATAAGGTGAGTTTACACGTCTCAGAATATTAAGAAAGGGCATCACTTAAGTACAGTTAAGAGCTAAAGTTTGGGAACGGCGGCGCTATCTGTTGACATTAGATCAAACCTTATATAAACTTAAGTATTAACAATAAAATTTTCTATGGATGTTTGTTTTATGGTGTAGGCCTAGCTCATTCTAGTACGATACATTATTATTTGCTTTCTTCGTATCTATTTCAGAACACATCACCTTATTTTATTTTGGTGCTGCTTCATCGTTTTGTTTCATGTTATTTTTAGGCTAATTGTGTTTTTATTAAAGGTTAAAGCTTATGGCTATTTGCCATTGCACTGAAAGCTTATCGTAACTTAAATTAATTTGATCCATTTATTAGGTGAATGATATTGAAACAAACGATGATATTGTTTCTCTCTACCACAATCTTTAATACCTTAAATCATCTGTCTAATAACAATAATTATCTTTTAATAAGTTCAATTAGTATGCCTAGTCTATTTCAAACATACCAACAAGGATAAAACGCTTGATTAAATAGTCTAGTATTGACAAAGTAAATAAAATTAAAATGCAATTATTCTACGGAAAACAATCACACAAAGTATTGGGCTGCTAATACATTGACAATAAATACATAACCTCTAAATCACAATTAGTAAATTAAAGCAATAACAATATGGCTTCGACTCAAAAAGAGCAATTTTTTGCCGAAAGAGAGGAAGAAGAAAGTGCAGTCAACCGTCCACTCAACAGCTCGATAGGTGGTGAGTAGTTTTGGTTGGATAAGTCCACCGTCAATTGTTTGGAAAATACAAAACTATTGGAAATAGAGTGTCTCAACACAAGACTCAACAGTCAACCATTTCAAAAATAGGGCCCCTGATTCGGGTCCACGGATTGTTATAAAAATTATAAATATTCACTTTGGTATCAAACGAAACTGTAGGCCAAAACCAAAAAATCAATCAGTTTAGAGGAAAAGCTGATTAGGCTATATTATATTATATATTATAATCAGCTTTTTCTCTAAATTGATTGATTTTATGGTTTAGGCCTGGCCTACAGTTTCGTTTGATACCAAAGTGAATATTTATAATTTTTATAACAATCCGTGGACACGAATCAGGCACAATTCTGTGTGTTGTGTTGCCAACCATAAAATCAATCAGATTACCAGTGAAAAAGCTGATTATAATTATTTATAATCAGCTGTAACTTAGGCCTACAGCTAAACGAAACTGTAGGCCTAAACCATAGAATCAATCAGTTTAGGAAAAAAGCTGATTATAACAATCAGCTTTTTCTCTAAACTGATCGATTTAACCTTGTTTAGGCCATGGTTGTTAAATATTCTCTACATTACAATCAATATTTTGTGTGCAAACCCTCGACACATGTACACCTGTTTGAATCATACTACATCACGACTGAGGAAGTTGACTGTGAATGTGACCGGTCCAGTAGAAAAACGTTTTTCTTACATATTGGATGGCAGAGTAGGCCTACTTTGAATTGTAACCAAAATAATACATCACTTTGTGGCTAGGGATCTTAATATTTTTTAAAACCTACTTAGGCGGCTTTGACGGATTTTTGTACAAATTTTCAATATTTGTAATGGGATTTACAACTGCATTGACGTCGAATCTAGTGAAAAAGATAAGAATTTTACATAGGCCTAATGCTTAAACTAGCCTATATGATTTTCAATAGGCCTACGATGAAGACTAAACACTTGAAATTCTTAAACTTATCTTGATCCAATGAAGTCAGGGTTACTTACCAAAAAACTTCAAGATTTCTTCAACAGTGGTGGACCATGGAAGCCCACGCATTTTGACAACACAGCCTTCCTCATCATGGTCCCCAGACATGGTTGCGTCTCTCTGCAATTATATAATGTGTTAGATTTGCTTCGTTGCTTCCAACATTGTGCATGGATCTTAAACCAATTTGAGTGGCCAGTGAAATGTGTACCAACGCCATCAGTTTTGTTATATTGTAAAGTAATTTCAAGAATTAATTTAATAATAACTTAGTAGAAGGCCTATGTACCTGTGTGATACTGTTTTGTTGAACCCACATACAAAGTAAGATAGGACCTATCTGATTTAAAATAAGTTTGGAAGTACCTAAATAGCAGCCTAATGTAAATAGATATAGAGGTAGGTTAGATTAGGCCCGATGGTATCCCTGGCTTCCGGGGGCGATGGGGCTTGCGTGCTCTGACAACCTCGAGAGCTGTGCCGGCGGTAGCTTCTGGTAGGGCCTCCGACTGGTAGGGCCTCCCTTGCTGGATAGGACTTCGTGAGGTAGGATCCAGATTAAAAAGAATAAGTTACACTGGTCCTCCAGGTTTGGGGTTGGGCGTAAGGCTGACAACCTTACCCCAGAAAAAGTCAATTGTTCATAAAAAGTCACTTGTTCAGAAACGCCAAGATTTTGCCTCGGACCCATATGGAAGTAAGCTAACGGATTTGCTTACGATTTGGAACTAGCAACGTTAGAACCTCAGCTTTAACTGGAAAAGCGGATATAGGCAGTTACCAAATTAGAATCATATAGCCTAAAGCCGGGTTTTCATAGGCGCGGAATCGGCGAGCGGAGAGAGGAACGCGGAGAGCGGACTCCACTTGTCTTAGGCAATTTAATGTTACTGTTTTCCTAGAAGCGGAGCGGAATGCCATGTTAATTTCAATTCCGCTCTCCACGTTCCTCTCACCGCTCTCCGCTTCCGCGCCTAGGAAAACCCAGCTTAAGTTAGATACTTACAGTTGGTCTACAAGAGACCAGATAGCCATTCAATGGCAAAATTAATTCTAATAGCTTTACCCTATAGGCCTACTATAGAGGCTGTTATAAGTTAATGGGAGAAGGATCACATTACAGCGCAGGGCTGCCAAAAGCTACTTACTTACATTTCTTCCTCTTCAAAATGACATATTATATGACTAGTAATAATAACATACACTGTATGTAACTTAATTTGTATTTCCCATACCATCACCTTGTGATGGTTGGCCATTTGTTATAAATTTCGAAAACAACTGTTTTCATAAAATCGTACCGGTTGTCCAATCAATATTTAGTTCTAAATATCACTATACCACAATGAAGATAAAATCAATAGCTATCTAGTGGTACCACCCGCAACATCCCAAGCCGAAAATGACCCGAGCAGGGTAATGCCAAACAAGACGTGTTTTGTCAGTTCCCAAGGGTCGGCTGCAAAAGTCGAGCCGCGCCAAACATTAATTTGATTTCTAATCGTCGTGACATTGTTATAACTTAAACCTACCTGCTACAGGGGGTTTGTTTATGTAAGTAATAAAATGAAAGTTCAGAACGTGATCTGGTAACTTATTATTGTTCTCATCTGAGTTGTTTATTGTGTTTTTTTACCGTTAAAATAATTTCTGTGGCCATTCTAAGCACAAACAAAACCGTCACGCGGTGACGGTTGGCCACTGGTAGGCCTAGGGTCAACTTAGGGTAGGAGCTTAGGCTGACTTAAAAATAAAATTAACTTGGCCTACTATGAGTTCCTATTTTATTTTTTTTATTTTAGGCCTAGGCTTACTCATATTTGAGGTCTCGCAAATTTAATCCAGCCAAAAAAACTACTTAGGCCTATATGAACTTATTCATCTGTGTCTATGCCGATTGACAAGGTAAGCACAAACTTAGTCCTTGGCTACATATAAAAACAACGAATACAAACAATAGGTGGCAACAAAAAATGTAGGAATTTGCTCAGGGATGCAAAAATAAGAGTTCTATTGATCAAAATACACTTCACTCTATCCAGTGGATAAAATGCGATAGGCCCAATTAATTACGAGTAGGCCTACGTAAGTTAATTACGCCGCTTATTAGGACCGAGTTTACTCTATGTGTCTTATAAATAATAAAATACCATTAGCATATAATGAATAATGTTAAGTATAAAAAAGGCTTGGAAGGCATTATTTCTTTATAAACTAGAATAATCGTTCCTAAAGAGCAGAATTACCTGTGTAGTGTATTTTAAGTGGTCAAAATATAATTGCAATGAATGCAATGGCGAATGGCGGAGAGACGGAACGAGAGGAACTGAAGTGAACAGAACAGACAGGAACGGGGACAGCTCACTTACTCTACAGATCATAGACTATACGAGCTTTTTAAATAATATTGAAGGTTCACTTGCACTACAGGCTCGTATACTATACGAGCCTATTGAAAATAAAAAGTAAATGAAGAGGGTTCACTTACTCTACAAATCATTGTGCCTATGAGCCTCGTGTATTATATTTAAAAATACAGTAGGAAGGTTCGCTTACTCTACAGATCATAGTGACTATGAGCCAAGCTTACGAATTATTTGAAAATTCAGGAATCGGCTCGTATAGTATACGAGCCAAAATAATGAATAATATAAATTATAGGAATAGGCTCGTATACTATACGAGCCTGCAGAAAAATATTAGATGGCTCACTTACACTACAGATCATTGGCACAATGATCCGTAGAGTAAGTGGACCCTCTTCAAAATATTAGATGGCTCACTTACTCTACGGCTCATTTAGCTACTCGTTGCGCGGTTGCGTTCGTGAAACTCTAGGCGCTATGCCCGGCTTCGACTGCTGCGACTGCCTACATAAGTGTATTGCATCACCTCAATTATTTATTAAAACGAAATAAATATGTATGTACAAGTAAATTTATTACATTTTTGGACTGAATACTTTAAAAATGGAGGGAGCATGACTTTTATGTTTAATTAAATTAAAAGTTATAGAATAAAACATATTTTGACTATGTGATTTGATCATGTTATATAATACACACTTGTATGATCCAGATACAGAACTACAGACAAAACCTGTGGTCCGATTTAGATTAAATTTTATCTGGATTCATCCACGAGTCACTAATTTTTTAAGCACGGGTTGAGAAATAATGGCAAAAATTTATAAAAACAGTTCACCAGTTTAGAATATTTCTCAGTTACTGTGAGTTGCAAAAAAGTGTATACAGAAGCATATGTGTTCACAGAAAATATAGAGGACTAGATGTATACAGAAGATATATTAAAATACAATACGCATACAACTATCAACGTTTACATATGTAAAATTAATGAATTTGTTGTGGTATTGAGTATTTTTAACATTATGACGAAGCCTTAACAAAATATATTTTCATTTTGTTTGAGTTAAGCCTCCGAATCACTGATCAATACGTGTACTGGTGAAATTACCTGCTGTCAAGTGATCCTTTTGACCTTGAAAGGCGACCGGTTTCGATCCTCACGGGATCATCTTCACCCCATTAAAAAAAAAATATTTTTTTAAGGAGTTCTAGGGTGTTAAACTATATTGTATTTATCTTTTGTGGAAGATTCTGTCCACGATTTATGATTGCTAACAATTTAATACAAAGATTTAAGTCTCTGTACGTGAAGACTAAAAACACGAAACAAACTTTAAAGGGATAGAAAAGATTTGATCAGGAGCTGGCGTTTGATACCTTTTGGGAATAAATATAGCCTCTACTTCAAAGGTATACATGGTGAGGTAGCCTCTGGAAGTCCATCTTCTTCAGGTTAACAAAAACGTCAATAGGTCATCTAACCAATTTGGTTAGATGACCTATTGACGTTTTCTGAAGATGGACTTATTTTCAAGTCCGAAACTATAGTAGTGTAATACTGAAGAAGGATCACTTGACTAAGCCAGGTAACTTAAACCATTTAGCTTAAAGTTATACAAGTTGGTTTCACACCAACATTTCATGCACATATGAAATCTATATAATTAATACGCGAACACGAAGTTTGTCGGTTGAACCCTCCACCATTTCTAAACCGATTTTATCCACTGACGTCTTATTGGAAAGAGCGTGTTGCGTAGATTTGCAAACTGGCCTAAATTTTTTGAAAAAGTCCCTTGGCCTCTGCCACAGTGGCTTTTTATTAAGTTCCCATGTTATCCTTACGAAGAACATAATATTGTTTACATCAGCTGTTTAATTTAATTGTGTTCTTTGTTTTTCAATTCAACGAAACGCATTGGTTACATTAACTGATTTTGTGGAAATTAAATATCTATCTATATATTAATTACGAAAGCCGATTCTTTGCGTCAAAATTGTGGGCGACTGGGTAGTCGTAGAACGACGGGAGCGGGTTCAAATTAAAGGTCTCGATCCCGGAAAAATAGTGAAATTCCCCAAATTTTAACACAAAATTAGACATAACCTTTGACTTAGTCAATGATATAACGTAAAATGTTCTCCATAAGAATAGCATTAGAAGCCATTTGTCTGTTGATTTTTGTTTACCTCAATACAGCTGATCGTGATTTATCATTAAGCCAGTAAGCAATATTACATTTGGATTTAACTAGTTTGCCAGTAAATTCTGCAATGTACTGTATACTATATAAAACCAGGGATGACGTTACATACAATTGAGACTTTTGTCGTTATGTCTTAGAATGTTGAAATTAATTTTACTGTGCAATTTGTGTATTTGTATGTAAATTAGCCAAGCGCATGAAATTTAGTAGAATCGTGGGAGATGGTTAAAATCAAAGTAAATGGAAGTAGAATGGCTGAAATATTTAAGCTTTGGTTTTTTTTAAACATATGTTCACGAAGTTTACAAAATTATTTTACTTTGATTACATTTCTTCACATTAGTAGGTTATTGTTGTGCTGAAGGAATGTTTAACATGAAATAGCCCCATTGACTAAATAATCAACGATGCAAGATTAGTTAGAAAACTTCTGTTTTGTTTTTATTTCAAAACATATATTGAAAATTTATTCAAAACTTTTGTTTTAAATTTCATAACATTTAATTTGACACGTAATTGTAGTGTTTAATCTATACTTTGTATCGAGTGGAATAACCTTAACAGTTACTCTAGAGAATAACCTGGGAATAAAATTTGAAATAGGTTTGTACAGGCAATACATATATTCCTTTCATTAATTACTATAACAAATTCCAATGGGCGGAAAAATAAAATTGTTTGGAGTAGATTTTAACCAGGTATCTACTGTCTGTTGCTCCAAGGAAAAAAGGTTAAAATAATATAGCCCAACATGCATTGTATATATATATATACAATCTATATAGATAGTAAAGAGAGAATCTATAACAGTAAACCCTAGAGGTAGTTTCAGATTCGTTATGTTTCACTAACCAAAAATATGTACCTATATCAATGCTGATGAATTTGTTTTCTTGATTGGTTTCATTAACATGATAATGGAACCCTAACCAGTGGCAAAAGAGTTAGTAATCAGTCGATGATTAGTTTTTTTAACTGTAGGCTAAATAAATAATATAAACGGTAAAATGTTTCCAAACAAAATTTACATCCATTGAATGAAAAATAATCTACTATTAACATGACTATAGCTGACATGGCTTAGCTGTCGGCTGTCTGTACATTGCGTCATAACAGCAGACAGCGCTATGTTATTAACTTAAAAATTATAACGGATTAGCAAATAAATACTTTACTATGGTCTTAACAAACTATGAACCCACTGAACGTTTAAATTGGCCTATTTTAAAGAGTGTATAAAATCAATCACAGCTTAAGGACGAATACCACCACATAAGCTGACACAGAGAGTAGTTTATATTTTATGTTGATCAGAAACGAAACTAGGGCAGCCTTTACACTAATTCAGTTGTGCCTTTACAAAAGGAGTAGAGCTATAATATTAGAAATAATAACTGGGCCAGGGTACTAATATGAGTACATGTAGTATTGTAGCACTGTATCGATTCTGACACATGGATAATTTTATTCTGAGTTTGTTTAAATATTACAATAGTTTGTTTTACATTTGAGCTTTTTAGGGACTTATGTCCCTACAAGCCACTAGTTGATCAATATAAAGCCCAAAGTACACATGAACTTTTGTGAAAACTACAAGTCACACCCCCATAAACCATATACTTAAAATGTTCGTCATGACGAGAAAACTAGCGCAAAACTATCCATTATTTCATAAATCACCCTTTAAGGAATTGCTTTCCAAAGGGAACTTTCCTTATACATAATGTTAAAAAAAAACCTCAGCTGTCCTTATTTGAATGTTATTCTTTCAATGTATTTCCTTATTAAAATCAGGCGTAATTATTTGTTTGTATTTCATGTATTCTGTTTTGTTTATTCAAGTTTAACTTAACCAATCAATAATTTTATTAATAGGGTGACTTGCCCAGTGAATGACCGGTGCCTATGAATGACCGTTTCACTCTAAAATGTACATTATTTTATTATTTTATCTAAACAGCTGTTAAGATTCATTAATTCCATTTCTCATAAGGTTAACATGGGAAACTCCAGAGCCACTGGGGCGGAGCCCTTTTAAGAATTTCGAAACGGGAAATAGTTTACGTCCGATTCGCATACCTACAGAATTTACACACCAAATTTAATACAAAAGCAGGTTTAATAATAAACTTTGCATATATTTTGCTAGCTGACCCGGCGAACTTCGTATCGCCTAAGTTATAGGTTTCCCCTAAGACAGACCGATGGAAAGAAAGTACCGTTACGTTTAATTTTCAAGATGATCTCGTTCGCATCGCTCAATCACGTCCTGGTTGAAGTTCGTTCGCTACGCTCACTCACCTTTGGGTTGGAGCTCGTTCGCTACGCTCACTCACCTTTAGGTTGGAGCTCGTTCGCTGCGCTCACTTGCCTTCAGGTTAGCTCATTCGCTACGCTCACTCGCCTCCAGGTTGAAGTTCGTTCGCTACGCTCACTCACCTTTTGGTTGCAAATTAGCTGTTGTCATAAATTTAAAAGAAATAATAGTGCTGCACCCTGTTGGTAATCCTTGTAACTTTAATGCTATTGAACATCATAGAACAGAACCAACTTGTTTAATTGAAACAGCTGTTAAGATTCATTAATTCCATTTCTCATAAGGTTAACATGGGAAACTCCAGAGCCACTGGGGCGGAGCCCTTTTAAGAATTTCGAAACGGGAAATAGTTTACGTCCGATTCGCATACCTACAGAATTTACACACCAAATTTCATAACGATCGGTGAAGTCGTTCCGGAGGAGTTTGCAGA